ATTCTTACACAACAAAAATAATATACATTTTAGGCAACAAGATGTATAAATAGGGTTTTTTGGCGATTAAGTACATATAATATTATATATATACAAGTGCTTTTATGCAGCTCTTGTGACATAACTGCCATACAAAATGTGAGAATATGACGCATTGTCATAACTGACTATGACGCATTTTAGTACGGAAATTGCGTCACAAAAACTGTAAGTACATGTGTATAAAAGTACAATTATTGTTACAGCTACATAAGTTTTTTTTCTTTGAAGTCATAAGTTCTCACAGCATACAATAGATGATAACTATTATTTAGATAGTTTTGTTTTATATCATGTAACTTTAACTTGCTTTATAGTTTTTTTTATTCCACATAAAGTTTAAAGAACACCAGATGCGAGTTTGTCATTTGTGTCACCCTTAAGTTCTGTGGACTGTACTGAAAATAAATAAATAAAGAATACTCACAAAAAAATTAAAAGTTTAAGTGGCAGTTTGCTAGACATAGAGACATTGTTTATATCATTGAAACTAAAAGGAATAACAGTGCAAATATAGCTGAAAGGTATCATGGTCCGCTTCAGAAACATTGGATAACCAACCATGTTATTGAGTCGAATCGTGCAAACAAATGAGTAATTATATTTAAACTGTGAACTGTACTTTGCCCTTATGTAAAATAAAATAATTTACTAACATATATTTAAGCATATTGTTACTAACACTTGTGGATTTTTAATGGTCCGTTTTTTTTTATTATTATAATAAAATTATTGTAAGTCATAAGGTTACCTATTTTTCGACCGTGTCAAAACTGTGATAACATTAAAGCAAGTCAAAACACACATCAATGGATCCAAAAGCATTTTTATCTGTAAATTCAGATTAGCACGAAACATAAAGAAGTTAGAATTGCTTAACATGAAGAATATTTAGAATAAAGGTAACAAAATGTACTATGAATCTTCAATTGACCACTTCAAAAGAAACTATCGTCGATGTTGATCATCAACATCAAAATACGACGTGTTGATAAAAATTACAATTGGATACATTATTTTTTTTCTGTTTTTAGAATTCATACGATATTATTATTATTATGACGTAAGTAGTATAAAATTCACTATTTTTAAAATTCATATAATTTTTTTAAGTTTTAAATATAAATTCAACTTGTGATAAATATGCCATTATTTGCTTTAACACATACTATAATAATAACTATTATATCTAAATGTACGCTGAGCATGACGCAATTGTCGTGCGTCAAAACGGTCTGACGGAGAATTAGCTAGTGTTTTGTTAAGAGAAAACCCGTAGCACACATAAGCTATGTTCACATTAAAAGGAAAACGAATAAAGATCCTATTAAGAGTTTATTTTCAACGTTGATAACTATTTCTCATTTTGAATTAAAATACAAACTTACAAAGCCCATCATTATTTTCAAGAAAAAAATATTTACAACTAAGAGACAGCGAGAGGAAGGATAGTTGGCAAAATTAGTTTCAAAATCAGAAAATTGTGACAAAATACGATGATACCCTTTGGCTATTTCACATTTTTAAAACACAAAAGTATTGTAATATTTATAAATATTAAGAAAATTTTCGATATTTTATAAAAAAAAAACTCAAAGCACTCCAGGCAGGAGACGGGATTCGAAATCGCACCTACCGCTATCTAGACCTTTAGATATAAATCTAGTAAATAAATTCTTAAAAAATAAATGTCATAAAGATTGCTTATATTGTTTTGCGGCATGACGATCGTTTGCGTCATAATCACACTTCATGCGTCATAATCAACGTACATGTCCATCACTACTCGTATTAATATTAAAAATCTCACTATTCTTCTAGTCACCGCAAAAGTGACCAATATTATTTAATTGTGTATTTAGATATATTCTTCCGATAGACCAAGTAGACTTTGAAATCATACACTAAAATTAATAAATACTGAAACATCGCATGTACAAGAATTACTCAACTTTAAGTACGTTGCGTAACTAAAAAAATAAATAAATTAAAATGCATTTGAATAAAAAAACCCTATATTTATTAATATATTTAGTATAATATTCAGTTTATGCGATTTTTGTTACCATGTTTAGTGCTCCGAAAGATATTATAATTGCGCTTTTTTCGATGATCTAATGATCTAAGATACTCGCAGCCAGTATATATATAAATAAAATTGTATTGTTCGTTTTAATAAGTGAAAAATCTTAAAGTTGAGTAGAACTCAAACTCTAGATATAACTCTCGCTATAATAGAAACGTAACGAAAAATGACATCTGCATCTTATATCGCATTTATCACGGGGAGTGTTCTGAGGAATTGTTCGGATTAATTCCAGCTGCTGCATTTCGCCATAGTACATCGCGACAAAAATTTCATCCCCATCATCTTGACGCGTGGCTATCCACAACCGTGCGTTTTTGTCGAAATTTTTTAACACGTACGACAAAACTGTGGAATATGTTGTCGCCCATATATATATATGCCCATACGATCCAAAAACCTTCAAAAAAGAGCGTACTCCTTCCTTAAAGGCCGGCATCTCATTTGTGATATTCCTGGTGTTGCAAGTGTCCATGGGCAACGGTGATCACTTACCATCAGGTGAGCCGTCTGCTCGTATGCCCCCTATAACATAAAAAAAACACACACACACAAGTTATATCATCACTCTCGCGCATATTCTAGATGCTGAGCCAAGCAATAGTGACATTTATATTATGTCCATGTTTTCGTGGAAAAATAAAATGTTCTCGATATTTCGACTATGTGGCCGTGGCGTGACAGGAATATGTTCAATTCAATTCGTTTATTGCATATCCACAATGTACAAAAAGATTTTAAATATAATTTATGATCATTATGGACCCTGTCGGCACGCAACTAAATAAGAGATAGAAGAGAGGAGTTACATTCAAAGGACACCTGGCATTTTGTGCCAAAGTTGTATACTTTTTTAATTTTTTTATCTGTGTTTCATAATTGGGTAACGTAGTCTGGCAATATTTGTCATCAGCAGCTAGCTGTCAATGTCAAATACGTAAGTTTGTCATCAAAAGGGTTTCTATATCAAAAAATATTAATCATTAAATAACTTATTTCCACGATTCACTAAAAATAAGGCAAAAGTAGTTTTATGCAGCAAATAACTTTGGCTTTATTTTGAGACCAAATTCCACTGTATACAAGTTTAGCATTTTTTCTATGAAAAGTGCCGGGTCTCCTTTATGTTAGTTTATAAATTGAAAGAGTTAGGTACTGAATGTCACTATAGTTGATATGTGCGATAGGGACGTTGTCATTTTTGATGCGTTTCTTTATTAGCGCGATTTATAGCTGTCATACAGATTATCAAAAAATAAATCCAAGCCGAAGACATAGAGTATACTTTCCAGAAATCTAGTTAAGATATTTATCTCCAGAGTAATATTCATTTTAAAAAATATTCCAAAGATTTAAAATTTTAAGAAAATATAGCAACAATTTTGGTAGCTGATATGTACTTAAAATATGTCTATTATTTTTGTATAATTTACTTTTCTCATAAAAAATATTTTTAATAAAATAAATAGCCCGTATCTATTTCTCTTTATTTTCCATTTGCTGATAAACTTGAATAGGTTTTTTTAAATACATTCCATTGACTGGGAACTTGTATATATGAAAAAGGTAAGAATCGCGTTTCTAAGAGGTTTGTTTTTTTCTAATTTATAAAACACCTTATTAAAGCACACAAAATATTATCTCAACTAAAAATTATACTCTATCCATCGACTTGAGTCAAAAAGAGTGTTGAAGAAAAAATATTAACATTAAAAAATATATCGTCAATATAAATTTTAAAACCATTTGATAGATGCTGGCAAGGTAATGGAGCTTTTGTGAAATACAAATAACATAGTATGTTACTTAATTTGCAGAAAAACATATTATACTTCAACAACGATGCCTTTCATTCGATATTTACTCCTGAATATTAAAAACCAAATTCACTTGGTAATAACCTTGTTTTATATTTAAGTAATTTTAGTCCCAGAGATGTGCAAAATTAATTATAAAAAGTATTCCAATACAAAATGTAAATACTTCGATATTTTTTAATTTCAAATACAAAATAGTTTTTCATTTACTATTATTTACTATAATGTTGTTACGTTTAGTAAAAACAAAACACCTTTTATTATCTCTGTTATGTATCTACGATTGTTCGAAATTTTGTAGAATTTAATTAATTAATGTATTCAACATGTAACAAATTATTGGAAATAATATAATTATTGACAAATAAAAATAGGACGAAAAAAAATACGTCATATCTCGGTGTAACGGTGCACATTCATAAAAAAATATACCGACCTACTTCAGAATTTGAGAACCTGAGAAAAGAGATTTTCTGAAGTCGGTTAAAAAGTATTTTGCAAATTCAAAAATATGTCCTTAAAAGTATTTTAATACAAAATGGAAATAGGCATATTGTATTTTGCATTTCAAATTCTGTTATTTTTCAAATGTCACATCTCTGTTTAGTATCAAAATAGGTTTGCGAACAGATAAAGACATATATTGACATATATTTGACTAAATTTGATGCTGTCTATTTGTTACAGATGACAACAGACTAAGACAACATATGAATTAATAAAACATTAAATTAACTTGATATTTATGAGTACAGTAAGTCTTTCAAATACGTCATGGAAATTTATAATGATTTTGACTTTATATACGACATAAGGAAAGTGGCATTTATATGTATGTTTTAATTTTGGTGTAAAAATCCTCATCATAAGAATAAATTCGCTCCACTACTTTGCCAAATACAGATTTGAAAATATTCTTTTATGTTTTAATATTAAGGTTCAATTTATCCTAGGTACATACATAAACAAACAAATATTAAACATTCAAAATGTTCACATCAAACTGTGCCTCAAACTATATTGTCTGTGAAGTATAATTGTTCAAAGTCTTAATCATTTTAATACTCGTAGTTTTCGTGGGAAATATTATCGCTACCACATTCCATTTCCTCTACTTGTTCGTATTTTAGTTCATCTGTTTCCATTTCTTGTATTCCCACGTGAGTCTCGTTAAGTTTAGAATCGTTTTCATGTTTAACTGCATCGTTATCATCTTGCAAATCTTCGACATCGTCCAAGCTAGCTTGACCGGCTTTTTGGTCATTTTCTGTGCAACTCACCTCAATATTTTTACACTTTTTTGGACTTCTAAGTCTTTCACCGTTATCTTCGAAGATTTCATCTATAATTTCCAGACGCGACTTCGAAAAGAACTTGTGCAAAGATTCGATTTTTTCTAGAGCTCTCTCGTTCCTTTCGGAGCTCGATGATAATGTTGTATCTTCAGTCATGCAAGCGGAGTCTATCCTTCTTGATAAGTCCGATATTGAGTCTGATATTTCTGTTGTTGATGTAGATCGATCTATTTTGATTACTTTAGGCTTTAGCATCATACTAGGCGGTAAATCGGGTATGTTCCTCAGATCAATTAAACTAATAGACGATCTCTTCAAACTAGAACTGATATCGAACTCTCTACTGTCTTCCGATGATATTTCATCATCGAAATGCTCTTCGATTTTCATTTCTATGTACTTAAGTAACTCTTCAGCACACTGTCTGGCATTCGCTAATCTTTCGTCACTTGACATCTTCCTTTCCAATCCTCTAGAAGATGGTTCGTCTTCCTCCATGATATCAGATAATTCAACGCTGAACGGCAAATACTGGATGTATTGCAAAATAGGTGGTTTAGTATACGCTGTGAAGTTCTCCATGTCTTCTTGGTCGGTCATTGTATCGTCTTCTCTCACTATGTTGTGTATAGCATACACTTTGTCCAGTGCCTCATCGAATATATCTTCCAAATCGTCTTTTACATGACTCAAGTCAACTACGGTTTCAGAAATTCTTCTACTGTAAGACTTATCGGACCTGTCATCGCCTCTTTCTATTACAGTGTCTTGAGTATGCGTTAAGGTCGAATCTGATTTCGTTTTATTCATATCGCTGAACGTTTCCAATTTACTGATAGTCACATCTGACTTGGATTTCTCCGATAATGACGGAGTGACAGACATAGATTTATATTGCAATGCTTTGTCTTTACTCCCGTAGTGTTCCATGTATTTTATAAGCATCTCGACTAGGGTTTCATTGCCTTCTTCATCGGGTGTCTCGTCAATGTAAGACAAGTCTTTGACATTGATATTTGATTCGGAAAGGCTGATGCCCTTATTGAAGTCAGATTCAGTCCTGATTTCAATTACAGGTTTTTCTATCCACTTTCCTTCCTCTGGACCGAAGAGGAACTCCATCAGAGTTATCTTCTTGTCTTCTTTACACGAATTCTCCTCTTTATCCATACACCCGGATGAAGCTAGGAATTCGATAAGAGTCTCCATTTTCTGTTCCAGTTCCGTATTAACTTTGGTAGGTACGTAAGTTTCCAGTTTGTTTTCCGTCGGACTGCTGTCTCTTCTGAAACAACTACCACCGCTGCCTTTCCTCTCATCCTTCTGGCTTTTGACTATTGTGAAGAAGAAGTCTATGAGGTTGGCTATTCTTTTGTCGCCTTCTTCATCATCTGAGCTGGTTAAGTCCGATTCTTCTTTGACTAGAGGACACCTTTTGGGTGTTTCATCGAATCTTCTCAAGACAGTTTCTTGCACGACTTGGAGGAGGTCTCTGGCTAATCTTACGGGGGATCTGGAGTCGGAATGGATGGGTTCGTAGGTATCGGTGCCAGCGGGGGCGGATCGTCTTCTGTCCTTGTCTATTCTGATGAAATCCCATAAGGAGCCTAGCTCTGATGAGAGAGAGGCCCGGTGGTTGGCTAATCTGTTGCCTAGCCGGCGGAAAACCTGAAATTCGATAAGTGGAATTTTAAAATTGTAGTGGTAAATTTTAAACCAATTTTCATTATAGCCTTGATCTCCAAATGGCTGTTGTGAAAAGTTGCAAAAATGTTTATTTAAATAGGTACACGTTTTATGAGCTTTAATTAATTATTCAAAATAATCCTCTGTATACCCACTGTTTTACTAAGATTCCTGTCATCTATGCAAAAGTTTTAAAGTTTTCTTCAAGCATCAAGAATCATATTTTTTTAATTCAGTCTCATAATTTTTCCCCAACGTACCAAATAAAGTTTAACTACAATAAATAATAATAATTTTTATTATTTTTAAAGCATGTAACTGCTTGATGTTTAAATCTAAAGAAAATATAACTAGAAAAAATCCACGCGGACCAGGCAGCAGACGGGACTCGAACCCGCACCCTTCGCAATCCGGGCGAATGCACTGACCAATTATGCTACTGCGGCCCTCACGGACCGCGTCGAAATTCTCTCTAGCTATTCTTAAGCTGCAAGGCAGCGCCATCTCTTCGCATTATAGGTAAACCGACAATGTCAAATGAATACTTTTACAAGTATTAAACAATAAATAAACTTCGTCATTAACTATACCTGCCACACTCAGGATCTCCAAGCGCGTAGTTTCCTTAAACTGACTCTCTTGAAGCGAGCCACTTGAGCTGCTAAAGCTTCCGCCCCCAAAGACCCACCCATCCCAGTAGTCGCCTCGCCTTCGGAATGCACCTGCACGAAATTCACCATCATCAACATAAAGATTATCAAACTTATGGACTATTATAAGATGACGTATTATGGACTATGATAAGATGACTTATGGACTGTGGTAAAACGACTTAAGGACTGTTAAGATGGCTTATGGACTATTGTAACATGGTTTATGGACTATGGTAATATGACTTAAGGACAGTTAAAATGACTTATGGACTATGGTAAGACGACTTAAGGACTGTTAAGATGACTTATAGACTATGATAAGATGACTTATGGACTATGATGAGATGACTTATGGACTATGATATAGTAAATTATGTTATATAGGCAAATAGAACAGAGACTCAAAAGCCCGAATAGTTGCAACTATTCGGGCAGGATGTTCTAATTTTAACATAATTATAATTATGATCAGTCTATTAATGTCCCCACCGCTGATGGTTTGATGATGATGATGAAGTTATTCATTACCTCTCTTGCTGCTGTTCTTTTCTGCATGTAAGCCCTCATGTCCTTGTCAGAGTGTCCTTTCGCTCGTCCAATTCCTTTACCCAATGGAGTTGACGACATTCTTCTGTAAATAAGTCTTTATTATATATTAACACTTAAGCGATGGAACAGTCCCGTTATTAAGAAGATTTTATAATATACTTAACTAAACTTAAATTTCGCTTACGCTGCGGAAGTCATTGACGATAGACCAAAATGATGTACTAAAGTTTTATAGAGGACATAAATATCTACAAAAAAGTCCGCGATATCATACGCCTAACTATTACAGTTATGTCAAAAGTAAAGGTTTGTCATAACTTTTATATGTAGTTATGTCACAACTAAAGTTTCACCCGCGTTAATTTGAGGGAAAAAGTTATAGTAAGTCAAACTCTAGAGATGGACAATGGACATACGCTGTCGCGGACTTTTTTATAGAACTTTTAAAGGAGGACAATTCTGTCTTACATAATTTTTGTGTAACTTTAATCATTTACGCAGCGCACGCAACGGAATATTCCAAATGGAATATTTTTACCCGTTTTTGCAACATTTTATATCGATACTCCGCTCCTACTGGTCACAGCGTAATATTATATAGCTTTAAGCCTTCCTCAATAAATGCTCTACCTAGCACAAACAAATATTATCAAATCGGACTATTAGGTACTGAGATTTGAGCGATCAACCAAAAAATGGTGCATTCGGTACAACGGTTGACAACACCCTATGGTTGACTGGTGGAGAATGCCTATGGCATTAAGTCCGCTTTTGTACACTTTTGCATTAAGTATAAATAAATAAATAAATAATAGCCAATTAAACAAACGAACCTACCTAACCTGAGCACTCGCACCCAAGAGCAACGACGCAATCAGAACCAAGTTTTGGTCAAGTTATGAGCATTTGCTCACACATAACTGTGGCGCGCCTTTCTTATTCTGTGGGTAGAACGAACATAGAGGTATATAAATAGAGTAGGCGAGATATAGACTCTACTACAAGTGGAAGTGTCCCTCTAATAGAAAGAGAAAGAAGATGAGAGACTGCTAGCTGTCTCTCTCTAATCGCGCATGCGCATTGGCAACCGTAAACATCATACTATTTCGATGTGATGCCATTGGATGCCATGCGTCACAATAGAGAGAGATAGCTAGAAGTCTCTCATCTTCTTTCTCTTTCTCCTAGATGGACACTTTTAGAGCCGCCTTCCGCACTCTTCCTCTTATACCTCTATGAGATGTCCAGTAAGTAAACCAGTAATCTCCAGAGCCTTGACCAACGAAGACGTGTAGCTTGCCTCTTATTTATTTCTTCTTATTCTTGTTTCATCGGGTAAATTTGGGAAAGTGTACGGAGTTATTACATAATTTGATCCCCCCTTCCCCTTTCCACCACCGGACGACCAGGCGCGGCGAGGGCTTCCACCCTTATGTTGTCGAAGTTCCTCCCATTCGCACGAAGCGATTTGCTTCGGCCTTCATTATGCGAACGGCTAGGGAGTGGAACTCCTTGCCGAGGTCTGTTTTCCCGGACCACTATAATCTGGACATCTTCAAGGCAGGCGTGTACCTAGGCCTCATCATCACTTTCCATCAGGTGAGATTGTGGTCAAACGCATTGCGAACGAATCGTAACTTAACGACACGCGCGCCACAGTTATGTGTGACCAAAAACTCACAAGTTGACCCAAACTTGGTTCTGATTGCGTCGTTGCTCTCTGCTGTGAGCCCTGATTGGTTCAATTGTTTGATGTCGCGTCGTTTGATTGGCTATTATCTATTAGGTGGAAGTGTAGTGGGGGCGAGTCGGCGACATCGGTTCCCGTGCAAACATCACCCTTATAACCCTTTTTCTGTGTTCTGTTGGGTAGAACGATTCGTAATCCACTACGTGGACCCATTGCTGATTGGTGGACAGACCCGTCATTCCCAGTGGGCACTTTGGGCAAGTGCCCAGGGCCCCGCGATCGATAGGGGGCCCCCTCAGATCAAATACAAAGTCCCTAGTTATTGTTAAATCCCCAAACGGAAGTCATAGGGGCCCCATTATCCTAATATGCCCACGGCCTCCAATAGGTCAAAGACGGCACTGTTGGTAGAGGATGTCTCACCTGCTTTGTAGGGGGTCGGTGTATGGCGGTTGCACTGGTGGTTTCCCTTCAGGATTTTCACAACTGAAACCGCCTAGAGGGAATGGCGAACCACCTGTGAAGAGATTTGCAAATATAATTACTTACGTTTTAGTTTAAACATTGTTTATTTGTATTAAAACGATAAACAATAAAATCAGTACCCCTAGTACTAACTACAGTTTTACAATTACGAAAACCATCATAGTTTTCGTTATTGTAAAACTCGTACTAAGGGTACAGAACACCGCGGATCGCGATAAACGTCTAGTGGTGCGGCTCATTCTAATATGAGCCTTATACAGTGCGGCGTAAGGGAGAAAGTGCAACGACATCTGCACTTGTTTACAACTTATGCGCGTTACCTGCGTAGGTATAAGTAGGTACTGCGCACTCGCGGGTGCTAGTTTACTCTCAATTTAACGGGTACTTTCTAGAATGCGTCGATCGGCGTATATAAGCGCGATTGGCGCCGCGCAGCGACAGTTGAGTTTCAACAGCGATTTCGGAGCGAATACAAAGGCGATCAAAGTGCAACAAAAGTGTTCAAATGCGATTGTTTAAAGACTTGTATAGTGAAGTACAGTGTTTAGTGAGTGTATTGATTTGTGATTAACATTGTGTGTTAACTGTGTGGTGAATAAAGTACTTACTATCAAGCGTGAACTGGCATATAATTTGGAACCCCATCCCGATACGTAACAATATACACATGCTACAGACCGTTGAGACTTATAATAAGTAAGTAAGCCGACCTGTATATTCAACAACACTTAAATACCTGCTCGCGGAGCTGCTGCTGGAGGAGCTCGATGGCGCGGGTGTTTAGCGCGTTCGGCTGTGATCGTTGAAGTTAAGCAACTTTCGCAGTGGTCGGTCATTGGATGGGTGACCAAAAATCTTCTATCTCGAGTTCTTCCGTGCTTCGGAAGGCACGTTAAGCCGTTGGTCCCGGCTGCATCTGCAGTCGTTAGCAACCACCAATCCGCACTGGGCCCGCGTGGTGGGTCTTGGCCCAATCTTCCTATTCCATCCATAGGGAAGGCTTGTGCCCCAGCAGTGGGGACATTAATGGGCTGATGATGATAATGATGAATAAATACCTGTGATAGTCCCCCGTGTCATGCTAAGTCACCGCTGTATCCTGGCTATGGCGTTTTTGTTTGGCTGCGATCTTTAAAGTTAAATTAGTCGTTCATTGGATGGGTGACCAAAAATCTTCTATCTTGAGTTCCTCCGTATTTCGGAAGGCACGTTAAGCCGTTGGTCCCGGCTGCATCTGCAGTCCTTAGCAACCACCAATCCGCACTGGGCCCACGTGGTGGGTCTTGGCCCAATCTTCCTATTCCATCCACAGGGAAGGCCTGTGCCACAGCAGTGGGGGCATTAAGGGCTGATGATAATGATGATGAGTAAATACCTGTGATAGCCCCCAGTGTCATGCTAAGTCATCGCTGTATCCTGGCTATGGAGTTCTCGTTTGGTAGCGAACTTTAAAGTTAAATTGGTCGTTCATTGGATGGGTGACCAAAAATCTTCTATCTCGAGTTCCTCCGTGCTTCGGAAAGCATGTTAAGCCGTTGGTCCCGGCTGGCCGGCTACCGCCAATCCGCACTGGGCCCGCGTGGTGGGTCTTGGCCCAATCTTCCTATTCCATCCATAGGGAAGGCTTGTGCCCCAGCAGTGGGGACATTAAGGGCTGATGATAATGATGATGAGTAAATACCTGTGATAGCCCCCCGTGTCATGCTAAGTCCCCGCTGTATCCTGGCTATGGCGGCGCGGTGCCTCGGCACGGGAACAGAGCTGCCTTTCTCTTGAAGGACGAACCGGCCCAGAGTCTTCCAGCCTGCCTGGGTTACCAGATAACATATTTATCAACTCGCTCTACCCTGGTATCAGACAGGATTCAAACCACCGCCTTTATAAGTATTATTTGTCTGCGTATGAGGCTGATCGCTTAACAAAACTGGCAATTGCCCATGGAGCAGGTAAAATTCAATATCGTATTTCAGTCTAGGCAGTTAAACCACTTGTGAATGTCGAAAAGCTACGCCATCGGTTCGCAACTCTACGGCGGGAGACCTTGTACTGAGAAGAACCGGCAAGAAACTCAGCAAGAGCTGTTTTTCTCTCCCTGTATTGTATACAGGGTCGTCAAATTGAAAAATGACTTCAATATGAGATAACTCGTGAAGTCACTTTCCACTACAAATGCAAATGATAGAATTGACGCATTACAATAACCAGCCAGGCTCGAATAATAAATACTCTGAACCCATTGTTATACTGGACCCATAGATCGCTTATGGTCCGCTGCGTATAGTCGGCACATAAGCTCAGTGGCGGCGCTAGGCGTCGGCGACGTCGGCCACCGCCGACGGCCTCGCGCCTGAGGGGGCCTCGCAAAATTTTTTTACATGTTACCTATTTATTTTCGTTTGTCCTGGCCTGGCTTAGGTAGCAGACCCCGAACAATTCGGGGAAAAAGCTAAGCAGATGATAATGACTTTTATTATTTTGCGAACACGTGCGTGATTAAAGCGAGTAGTACTTTACAGGTATTCAGAATCGTCTGTCTGGCAACACTATTTTTGTAATTAAATTTCTATGTTTGTTATTATTTTTTGTCATCATTTGATTATCAACAATAAAACTCGTTTACTCATACGTTATTTTACAATTTGGCTCACTTAATTTAACGGTTTGATGTCGCCGACGTCCACATGTAGTCTAGCGCCGCCACTGCATAAGCTGCACGTTTAGAAAACTAAGTTTTCTAAATAATGTTGTCTTTACTTGCTAGCTACATCGAGTAAACCTACGTGCCAACATATTATAATGCAATTCAAATAAGAATAAGAAAGCCAATGACCTCCATCTGTCAAATGTCACTTGAAAAGTACGGTTTGCAAAAAAAACTCGGAACTTTTTTAGCACTCCGCTGATTCTAGAATAAAAACCAAACATTTTTAAACAAACAATAACAAATGTTGATAATTAATATTAGTTGTTTTTTTTTGACGTGACAACGTCTTAAATTAGGTTGCGGCTGGGAGTCACTTATGAAAAAGTGTAACGCTCGGTAACGTTACGATGAGTTTAAGTTTACATGTACAATGTTTTAGTAAACAAAATATATTTCTATAGTTAAAATTTGTGCAATTCTTATTTTCATTCAATTCCTTGTTCCTATTGTGCAATTTAATTATATTCATATCAATAAATATTCTACCGAGAAAAAGACGTTGTCACGTAAAATCTTCGCCCGTAAAACCGACTTTACAGGCAACCATTTTTTTTTTCATTTATTGAGCTTTGGCTATGAATGGTTGATAACCTAAATCTTCAACCAAATGTCACTCTATGTTGCATTCAAAAACTCGATTTAAAACTTTCGTTTACATATAGGATGCATGTTACGTATGTGACCTGCATGATTATTCATAACTTCTCGGGAGGTAATGCAGAGATGAGCGGAATTGAAGAGCAAGATTCTGATTACTGTTTTTTTTTCACATAGTCTTAATAAAAAAAATACTATTAAAAATCGGTTGTGTTCTCTCTCAACCTTAGTAAATTAATTTTATTAAAAAATCGATCGTTTGTCTCACTTAATCTTAGTAAATAAGTTTTATTAAATAGCAACATTTTTTTGCTCACTCTACCTATTTGATTTGACAGCTATGACGTCAAAATATGGCGCCCAGTCGGTTTTATTCTTACATGAATCGCATTATACTTCGCACCGCCAGCGCCCTATGTAAATAAGAGAGACGACAGTTTTTTGGGTCTTTTTATTAAATGATTTTCATAATTAAATTACTAGACATTATTTAAAACAAGTCGCATGTCCGAGCGTGGGGGGCCTGGGGCTTAAGCACAGCCAGGAAACTGCCTAAATAGGCTAGTTGACTCATGTCGAATTGTATTAAATAAATGTTTATTTCTTAAAGTATTTGGTCTAAGGAACCTAAATATATCGACTTCACTTCATAAAAGCAGAAGATTGCTGTAGAAATTTAATTTTAAAAAATATTTTTTGGTCTATATTTTTTAAACACTAAAAACGCTATTCGCCACATCCGCCATGATTGTGACGTCTTATATGGTAAACAACTAAATGTCATTCGCGTGTTACTGTGGGTGGATTCTTTCATCTGACTTAATTTATCCTAAAACACTTTTAACTTTAGAAAAGTTTCCGTTTACTGTTTTTTTTTGAAAAAACTAATTATGGATGCCGGCTTTGTGAAAACAGAAAGCACAAATCTGCCAAGAATTGACGCATTCATGGTTGGTGAATTTATTTCACTAAACCCCGATTTCTGCTCTGCGGAGCAGAGAAACGACAAGGTATCTATGTAAGTACAGTGTATTTAGTATTACAATGTAGTAATAAACATAAAACTGATACGTAGCGTAGTACGTAAAGTTGCGTAGGTTAATTTCTTTCGGCACTTTTAATTCACAACTTTCCTGGAATCTTCAAGGATGTGTTTTTATATTCTCGTACAATACAATAATGATAATTACTTTATTTTTCGGGGTATTTATTAGAAATCATCTTTTGTTTATTATAAAGTCAGTTATTTTCTTACGAGTTTTTGTTTATTTACCTTTCTCTATGTGTTTACTGCAGTTAACGTCATAGCATAGATAATCTATAGACTAAAATGGCCGATAGCGTTTTTGTATGTCCATGAAAAATCTATTTTAAAATTAAAGATTTGTAGCTTTTTAGGTCTCAAAAAAATACAATACATTTTTTTTCGGTCTAATAGAACATTTATTAACCATTTAAAACCTTTTTCCAAAAAGGGTCAACTTATGGTATTTAATTTTTTAGCTGTATTCCTGTATGTATGTAAAAAATAATGTGGAGAGGAAAATAAATGGGTTATTATTATTATTTATAATTTCATCCGTAGGGAAGGCCTGTGCCCCAGCAGTGGGGTCTTTAAAGGGCTCATGATATCGCACCTTTAGAATTGAATTGACTTAAATAAAAAAATAGCAAAATGACTTTTAAACGTGAAACGACACAAAAAATATGTATTCTATCAGTGTATTAATAATAAACAGGCTCTTTTAGGTCAGAAAAGACAAACGTACTATTTCCGTCTCTTTTAAATGACACGCATACCGCGCCTCCCTCAGTATTGAAGTACCCCATTCAATGTTGCGTTACATTTATTTCATTTTCCTTTAATTTAGAAAATCATTAATTATTAAACTAGCATATTACGAAATTGGTCATCGATCAAAAATATAAAATTAGGAATGAATTGCCATTATATTAAATAGTTACGTTTTTGTTTTATGTTGTTTAGTAAAAAATGGGCACAAAGTGAAATTAGCCAATTATAATAAACTGTTTTCGTAAAATAAGTGACATATATTTTTTTGATGATTAATTAACAACGGTTCTAATTAGTTAGAAAGACTGGTTTTGTATACAGTCATGAAAACAATTCCTATCCTACCATTAACAATAAAAAATGTGATAATAAACATATAACTTATAGCATTATAATAGAAAAACAAAAAATTACCAACTCTTCAATCACATTTTTAGCGTTTACCAAAAATCAAGAATTTTGGATTAGGTCACTTAAATAGGGGTGATGACGGGGTACAGTAAACGAAATTCTATTTAGTCCGTCAGTTAGATGATCAAAAAATAATGGACACGTATTTTTTCTTTGGGCAATCAACCAAAAAATGACAAAGTTATAGCGCGTCAAAGTTTGGGAATTTGGTGCTCGTGACGTCACTTTTGAGTGAATTTTCCCTTATAAGTGTACTCAAACGTGACGTCATGCGACTTTTCAAATCAATATATCTCTGCAATGTTTATATTATGTGAAAAAAGAAAATCATATAATCTACCTGATAAACGAAGAAAAAAAAATTAGTCATCATCCCTATTCTAAAGGTGCTATATGTTAACTTACCTGAGCAGTATAAACAACTTCGTCATCCGCCAGCGCCCTCTGTTGAGGTCCGGTGCCAGCTCGCCCTCCCCACTCCAATTCTTCTACCAATACAAATCTGGAGGGGAGGATTTAATAGATATAATTGGACAATCTTACTTATATAATATAAGAGGAGCTCGATGGCGCCGCTGGTTAGCAAGTTCGGCTGCGATCATTAAAATAGAGTATTTGACAAGTTTTAGAAAACGATCTCACGTTATTGACTAATGTTTATGGAGTCCGTAAAAAGTAGATATAAATCATTCTGTTGTGTATTTCAGTAAAAATAACCAAATCAAAAACTCCATTTTCAAGTTGCCGCGAAAACGTTTCTCTGGGCAATATGGCGTCTTACTAGTGTGTGACGTCACACGACTGTAATTAGAACGTCGAACGATACAATGTAATGTCCCTTTAACCGGAAGTTTACTTGCGTGTGACGTCATTTTAGGCTCCGCCGATCCCAAGCGTTTTGGGTCACGTGACAATAGATAAGAAAACTATTATCTTTTTCGTGGGTTTTTAGTAAAATTATGAATATTTTTTTTGTAAAAATAGTAAAAACCCCTGCCAATATTCATTCTAAACACAGATGCTAACAATTGCCACTTTATTTTTAATACTGACAAATATCCTATTATGCAACTTTCGCAGTAGTCGGTCATTGGATTTGTGACCAAAACTCTTCTATTTCGAGTTCCTCCGTGCTTCGGAAGGCACGTTAAGCCGTTGGTCCCGGCTGCATCTGCAGTCGTTAGCACCCGCCAATCAACACTGGGCCCGCGTGGTGGGTCATGGCCCAATCTGGACTGGGGTTACCATCCGTCCGGATTTGTCCGGACATGTCCGGACTTTTCCCCTTTTGTCCGGACTTTTTCCACGTTTCCTTCAGAATCGACACCAAATATACCTGTTATTTTGTTTGCTTTATGGCTCCTAACACGTCCTCAAACAGGCCTTGCCAGAATACCAGCGCTGATACAGTGAGAGAATAAATTATGACGTAAATTTGTTGACCTAAACTGAAATTATTAAACTAAATTATAATGAATATCATGTGAATGAATTTTGAATTTGAATTTGGAATTTTGATGGACTTTGAATGTTATTGTTACCTGTTCATTTATTTTTTTGATTTGATTGACATACATCTCTTGACCTAACCCTAAATGTATTTTATAATTGCTTAAAGTATTATATATTTTTTTTTTTTTTTTTTTTATAGATGGATAAGACAGATGACTGATATTTTTATTAACTTATTTAAATTTTCTATCTATCTTAAATTGTTATCCTATTGTAATTTTATCAAATTTTAAATTAATATTTGTACACATTTATTATAATTTGCAATGCCCTTGCAGGGCTCATATTATTAAATTTAAGAACTAAATGTAACCAACATGAAGCAATAAATATTATGACTATGACTATGAATATTTTCTCATTGTATCAGCATAAGCTGAGACAGGGTCCTGATTAGCCGTCTTAAATCTATATAGTGATTAATTTTTGTTCTTAGGTTAAGTTTCTTTTTTATATTTTTTTTTCCTCTGTTTCATATATACAAGATGGCCAATAAAGATTTTTCATTTCATTTCATTTCACTTTGTCCGGATTTTTTTTGATTAGATGGAATATGAGTAAAACTACTTATTAAGTTATATCAAATAATTCAAATAATCTTTATTAAGTTCTCATTAATTTAAAACAAAATAGAAATCACCTTTAAAAATCCACAACAACGAGACTCTGCCGTATAATATCACTGTAACTAAGTGGGTGATGTTCGCATTTTGTGACTAAAATGTCCGGACTTTTACCGCAAATGGCATGCAGGTCCGCGGTAGCATAATGGTCAGTGCATTCGCCCGGATAGCAAAGGACGCGGGTTTGAGTTCCGTCTGCTGCCTGGTCCGCGTGGAATTTTTATCTAGTAAAAATTTTTCTTAAACAATATTTATTACCTTTTCGGGTCATCTTGACATCTCGCCTTCGTCAGGGCTTGGTATACGACGTATGATGCTGTGGCGCTAAGAGGTACCTAAAACAATTAATTATTTGTCATGTAAGTTACGAAAAAAAGTGCAGCACCCTTACCCATGGTTTGGAACGGGATGGGTGACCGCTCACCTTCAGGATAGCGTACGGGATCTCGTGCGACACGTTGTGCACGCACACCAGGAAGCTGTCGGGCGGGCGCCGGGGCTCGTCGTCCTGCGTGCTGGACTCCTCGTCTGAAGGCACTGAGCGGTCGCGTGACCTGTCGGTTGAGGCTGACCTGGTTGGATAATCAATTAAGTGCCTTAACTGCAACACCTTTAACATAATGTTATGACCCATTAACACTTCCGATCCTATCTCATAATAAAATTGTCTTAGCGTCCGCCTCTCCTTAAAAGGGGAGGTGGGCAAATTTTTTTCCATACAAACGATCTCGACTGATTACGTTTGTATGGAAAAAAATTACCCGTTCTCCTCTAATTACGTTTGTATGGAAAAAAATGCCCGTTCCCGACTGATTACGTTTGTATAGAAAATAAATTGCCCGTTCTCGACTGATTACGTTTATATGGAAAAAAATTGCCCGTTTTCGACTGATAACGTTTGTATGGAAAAAATTGCCCGTTCTCGACTGATTACGTTTGTATGGAAAAAAAATTGCCCGTTCTCGACTGATTACGTTTGTATGGAAAAAAATTGCCCGTTCTCGACCGATTACGTTTGTATGGAAAATAAATTGTCCGTTCTTGACTGATTACGTTTGTATGGAAAAAAAATTGCCCGCCTCCCCTTTTAAGGAGATGCGGACGCTAAGATAATTTTATTATGAGATAGGATCGGAAGTATTAATAGGTCATTATTTTAAAGGTGATGCAGTACTTACTCCTTGATTTTTATCACCAAAGAATTCATTTTCATACATAAAATATGATTATACTCATTCTATGCTCCTATGTTTTCCTTTTTTCGATAGCTTGTGTTTCAAAGAAACTACAAGCCCTAGAAAAGGCCAAAAATAAACAAATTTTTATCACCACTAAAGACGTCTAGTGTAGAGATTTAATAAGCATTTACATAAAAATCAAAACATAGAAGCATATTTAACTACTTATATTTTAATTTCTTTTTTCATAATATAATATCTAATTTTCGAGGAAGAAATCGTTGAGAGCCAAGCCTCGAATTCTGCAATTTTCAACGTTAACTACTGTTGTCCCCGTCTTACGGTATTTGCAAATGTGTGACAGTAATAGTATTTTGAAATAACTATTTCAGCTCGCGTCCGCTCCTCTCTAAATTATTTTTCAATCTTGCACCCCTTTAGATTCGCCCATTTTATTTCTCTTTTCGTGATCCATTCCCCTTCGGCCGTTTCCGAAACCACTTTTCGAAACCAGTTTAGAAAAAATACTTTTAATTCTTCTTTCGAAACTGGTTTAGAAAAAGGAAAAATATTTCTACTTTAGAAAATAGCACGGTTCCCAACTTAGGGGTTTTGCCCCCAGATTTAGGGGCTACATGTGTTAAAATGGACTTTTTAGGGGCTAGAATTTTTTGGGGGTTCTTTTAGGGGCTTTTGACAAAACTTGCAATTAAATCGAAAAACAAAGCATGTGTTTTCTTTTAGTTTTGTGTGTAGAATGGAACGCACCACGATATGAAACGACTGAACTGACTGTATGGCGGTCTGTTACCTAATACTGTACGGATTAAAGTTCTTTGCCTATCACCAATGGTTAAACAATAAAACAACAACATAGCAATCATGTTCGTTCTTTCATTCGTTCACGTCATACTCACGGCTCACCATTCATTTTTGTCATTCATTCAATAAAATAATTTAATGTAACTAAATAAGAAACTTTTTAATTTATGAGCAGCGAAAGAATTTAGGTAATAAGTAGGTACATATAAAATTCTATATTTAGGGGATTTTAGGAGTATTTGAAAAACACTTAGGGGAAATTTTTTGGTAAGGGTTGGTAACACTGGAAAATAGTTTCGAAAAAATTAGGTATTAATACTTCTTGCATCGAAACTCAGCGAATAATCATACAATCTTATTATATATATATATATATATATATATATATATATATATATATATATAAAAAATAGGGGTTGATATATATATATATATATATAATCTATAAAATCTAATATATAAAATTCTCGTGTCGCGGTGTTTGTGGTTAAACTCCTCCGAAACGGCTCGACCGATTTTCGTGAAATTTTATATGCATATTCAGTAGGTCTGAGAATCGGATGTAATCTATTTTTCATCCCCCTAAATGTTAAGGGTAATCCACCCCTAATTTTTTTTTAATTTTAGATATTTTTTTTATTTTTTTTATGATACAGCATTAGTAAATACATATAACCCTGAATTTTCAACCCTTTAAAATCAACCCCTATTCTTTATGGCGGTACGAAGTTCGCTGGGTCAGCTAGTTATATATATATTATATTTATAGCCAGGTTGATTTTAAGTGTTATGTATTACTGTTACTGTATTATTAAAGTACTTTTCCAATAATTATTGCATTATGTTTATTATTTGAATAGGCAATTTTTCGTTTCCGGTCATGTCGTGACAATAGATCAAAAATAAAAAAAAATAGGGTCACGTAGTATGGGCACTTTCCCTTATAACGACACGCCATAATTGTCAGAATTTTCTTTTCAAAAACGAAGGTATTTTTTGTACCGGTTTTGAAAAGATAAACACATTTCTTATTTAGCAACCGGTTTCGAAAGCAGAAACACTTTTACCCCATACTTAGTAGATTCGGGCAGAGTTAGGAATCCGGCTTTTCATATTACGTTTAAATCCTTTCTTTAAAAAATCTCGAGTTGGGAATGCTAGGTGCTGATAAAAATTTCTCGTAGCTAGTCACCCAGGTACGACCGAGGATTGTCATTAACTTACTTTGGTAATAATCTAAGCCCGGGCCGAGTTAGGAATGCTGGGCAATGATGAAAACTTACCTTATGATAGTCATTCAAATAAAATGACTCATTTCTATAGTAATCTCACCCCCCGGGCCGAGTTGGGAATGATGGGTGTTGTAAAAACTTACCTTATACTAGTGAGCCAGGCGCGACTACTCGGGTCGTCTCCGACCCGTTTCAGTAGTAATCTCGCCCCGGGCCGAGCTGTAGCCGCCCTTAGGACCCGTTCATGTGGGGCCAACACTCGTTGCGTCGGGGTCCGCGACTGTAACTCTTCCACCAGCACATAACTGCCCCGGGATGAGCGGCAGACCCCGACCTTGGTAAGGCACTGCGCTATGGCCTTTGGAAACAAAGAAAATTTACAAAATACGTGCTAGCAACAACAATATTAAATACCCACGGAGTACCCCCACTAGAGTCCGCATCACGCAAATTTTGTTTGGAATCAAAATCGCCAAAGTCGGCTGCGTGCAGGGAGATCAGCCGCGTTGTGATTGGACACGTCAAGGTCAGATGATATACTCAGTGCAGCGAAGTGATGAGGGTAAGATCGATTTTAGAAAATATCGATATTTTCTATCGATAAATAAAGGACACCCGGCATTATGTGCCAAAGTTGTATACTTTTTTAATTTTTTATCTGTGTTTCATAATTGGGTAACGTAGTCTGGCAATATTTGTCATCAGCAGCTAGCTGTCAATGTCAAATACGTAGGTTTGTCAATATAACCTCTATATGTAGCCGGGTCGTCAAGAGAATTAACGGATAAAAAGGCAATCACAGCGGAGAACATTCACAATCACAGTACGCGGGAGCGAATGATTTTTTTGTTTGTATTTTAGGATTGTCAAATTGACATTTGGTTTTTTATTTAGAAAAAGCAAAGGAATCATGGTTTTTACAGTCACTTGAGTAATATTTTCAAGTAAAATTCTGTCCCTTGAAGATTTAGGGTTTCCATATCAAAAAATATTAATCATTATATAACTTCTTTCCACGATTCACTAAAAATAAGGCAAAATTAGTTTTATGTAAGCAAATAATTTTGGCTTCATTTTGAGACCAAATTCAACTGTATACAAGTTTAGCATTTTTTCTATGAAAAGTGCCGGATCTCCATTGTACAGAGGCCTAGTACTTTGGTGCGCTAGTGTAGCTATGCGCAAACATACTCTCTCCACTTTCTTCCAGCGTTCTAATTACATGACGCGACTAGTAACTACATACTAAATATATTATTAATTAAATATACTAATTAAATATATTTTCGCATTTTTACGGAGCTCTGCGGCATTTTGACTTTTCATCGGTCCGCGCGTGACTGTAAACCAAGAAGTGCTTGAATAAAGTTTAAGCACTTCTTAATTGGGACACATTTTGAGCGCTCGTGGTCTATCTAGGGTATTTAATATCGTTAATTCCATGTCTTTATCTAGGTCATAAAGTATGCACACTTAATTTCATACAAATCGGTTTAATCGTGTAATAGTAACAAACATCCATACAAATTTTCGGGTTTAAAATAGGGGTACGATATGATTAAAAACTGTTGGTTGTATACTCATGATATCTGTTATTGTATACGATGAAATAAATAGTTTTTATTTATTTTTTCTATTTCCGTAGCTGACAAACTTATCGATAAACTTACGGGTACAGACATGAGCTGCGTCAAGTCACTAGCAATACACGTGCCGGTGTGAGAGCGGAATAGCATATATGATGCAGCGCATGCGAGAAAGGGATAGTGTTAAAAGACATCAACGCGTTCACCAAAAAATAAATACAAATTAAAAGCAATTTCATATAAGAGTATTTTTGTCTTTTTGTAATGCATTTAAACTTACCGGTGAAAAGTAATACCATCTTTTTGAAGACTGGAAGTTTTACTCCACTTTTCACATAATTGAATTGCACAGTACGGCATTTTTTCTAGTTTTTTAACGCAAAAACGAGAGAAGCACTTCTGCTAACGCTCGGCTTCGGAATGAAACGATGTATAGCGACGTCTGTGGGCGTGTCTCACGCATACGTAATATACTACTTAAGCTTGGCGTAAGCGCTTGCCCTTGTATGCGGACTCTAGTGGGGGTGCTCCATGTAAATACCCTAGATACACCAACACGAACAAAATCGTGCCGGAAACCTGTCCAAAAGGTACATTGAACGATCCACGGAGCTCCGTAAGATGATCGCGTAGTCAAAATCAATATAAGGCATTATTTATATATTGAAAGTAACCTTTAACACACACTGTATAACGTCTTAAATAAAACGCATGCGTCAAGGACTTCTGACAGTTCGAAATGCAAGCTCGTAAAATTTTACGACTTATTGCTATATGCGGAAGAATTTAGACCTTAGTTTAATAGTAGATCTTGGGTCTTAGTGACTCTACGCCCAATTCTGACCGCGCTGTTAGCAATATAGCAGGCACGGACCGCCAGGAAAAAAGATGGCTATATGGCGACGTATAACCAACCATGCATTTGAATATCACAACTATTTTATATTAAATCAGTTTATAGCAAGTATTAGATCAAAATTTACTTCAAATGCATTAAATTAACAAACATTGACTGTCGAAAAAACGACACTTTTCGTACTCTAAGTATTATTTTCGCAGTTTTTAGCGGAGTTCTGTGGCATCTTGACTTTGTAACGGTCCCCGCGTGACTGTGAACCAAGAAGTGCTTGAGTGGAGTTCAAGCACTTCTTGATTGGGACACATTTTGAGCTCGTGGTGTATCTAGATATCTAGGTATTTAATATCATTGGCTAGCTAACAAAAGAGTAGTATTTTATTTATTTAATTATCTTTAACACAGTTTCTACAGCAATTTTTGTGGATTTAATACGATAAAATATAGAAACAATCTATGGGTCAATTACAGAATCTTATTGATGTGAAACATCTATTGGCGCACGTAAAGCCGATTTCTGGCGTGGCGACGCTCGCGTGTTATAATATATACCAGTGCTCAACTACTCGCCGATCAACCCCCACGACAACGGCTAACTAGAGCCGAGCTCCGAGTCTCAGAGACGCCCTCTAGTTGAGCCAACCTTCTCAGGTTCGAGTGGTCTAGAGGCTCCAGACGGAGAGGAGTCTCCCCCGTGGGGAGACGCCATCCGCCTGGAATACCTCTAGAGGCACTCGCCAATAGGGTATTTGACAAGTTTTAGAAAACGGTCTCACGTTATTGACTAATGTTTATGGAGTCCGTAAAAAGTGGATATTCATCATTCTGTTGTGTATTTAAGTAAAAATAACCACATCAAAAACTCCATTTTCAAGTTGCCGCGAAAACGTTTCTCTGGACAATATGGCGGTTTACTAGTGTGTGACGTCACACGACTGTTATTAAAACGTCAAACGATACCATGTAATGTCATTTTAACCGGAAGTGTACTTGCGTGTGACGTCATTTTAGACTCGGCCAATCCCAAGCGTTTTGGGTCACGTGACAATAGATAAGAAAACTATTATGTTTTTCGTTATCATTATCATCATCATCATCATCCTATTAATGTTCTCACTGCTGGGGCACAGGCCTTCCCTATGGATGGAATAGGGAGATTGGGCTATGACCCACCACGCGGGCCCAGTGCAGATTGGTGGGTGCTAACGACTGCAAATGCAGCCGGGACCAACGGCTTAACGTGCCTTCCGAAGCACGGAGGAGCTCGAAATAGTAAATTTTTGGTCACCCATCCAATGACCGACCACTGCGAAAGTTGCTTAACTTCAACGATCTCAGCCGAACGCGCTAGCCACCTGCGCCATGGAGCTCCTCATTTCGTGTTTTTCGTTAGTTTTTAGTAAAATTATGAATATTTTTTTTTTGGAAATATAGTAAAAACCCCTGCCAATATTCATTCTAAACACAGATGCTAACAATTGCCACTTTATTTTTTACACTGTCAAATACCCTATTCTCGGCTTGAGGTCCCCTTAGGATCTCGCCGTCCCCAAACCCGGTGACGCTGTAAAGGTCATCTGCGACCAACAGCATACACACTTAAAAACAAACAAAAAAAAAACGCCGCTCAGTACGGCGCCAGCGCCCTTCGAGGCAGGACTTATGTCATTTTTTACCGCACGCATCCAGACCAATTCTCCGAGTGTATTTATCGTAAACCGACTAGTGTTTCACATCTGCCACTGGGGGCCGTCCATAAATTACGTCATCGATTTTTTCAGATTTTAGACCCCCCCCCCCCTACAATCATCCTATCGTCATTTCTTAATGACCCCCCCCCCCCCCCCCCCCCCCCTTCTCCCAAAATTGACGTCATTACCAGTTTGACAAAATTAAAACATTGCAGATTTGAGAAAAGCTAGTATTATATGTAATATTATTGTTAGAGTATTTTATCTGTAGTTATTACTGTATTTGTGTACATCTATGTTGCATTATGTATGTTTATTATGAGTTATTTTAGTATTGTACGCGCCTTAGCCGCCTCTCACATTTGCAGTCTCACTTACTAGGTGTGCTGGAAGAAATTTCTTTTTAGAAATAATCTTTTTGTACGTGAACAATAAAATATAAATAAATAAATAAGAATGACGTCAATTTCGAAACACCCCCCCCCCCCTATCTATCATTTACCGTCATCCGCAGACCAACCCCCCCCCCCCCCCTAATTTAGAATGACGTAATATATGGACGGCCCCCAGGCGACCCGAGACGACTCACATTTTTCATGTACACATTAGATGTTACCGGCGTTACCATATACCGTACCATATACATTACATTTATTATAAAAATAATCATCATCAGCCTATTAATGTCCCCACTACTGGGACACAGGTCTTCCCTATGGATGGAATAGGGAGATTGGGCCATGACCCACCACGCGGGCCCGGTCGTTAGCACCCAGCTAACGACTGCAGATGCAGCCGGGACCAACGACTTAACGTGCCTTCCGAAGCACGGAGGAGTTCGAGATAGTAAATTTTCGGTCACCCATCCAATGACCGACCACTGCGAAAGTTGCTTAAATTCAACGACCGCAGCGGAACGCGCTAACCACTTGCGCCATCGAAGTTATAAAAATAATATCATTTACTAACATGAAAACAAACACTAAATACCTATATAAAAGAGTTTTTAGGAATTTGTCTTTTATGATCCTTTATGAATGTGTGGATGTGTGTGTATGTGTGTGTGTGCGCGCGTATGTGTATTTTGTGTGTGTGTTTAAGCAGCTTATATTTGGATACAAATAAAATCACGTTGAAATCATAATCATCATCAGCCTATTAATGTCCCCACTATTGTGGCACAAGCTTTGCTTTGAATGGATCGATCCATGGAACGGGTCATGACCCACCACGCAGGCCCAGTGCGGATTGGTGGGTGCTAACGACTGCAGTTGCAGCCGGAACCAACGGGTTAACTGCCTCCGAAGCACGGCGGCGCGTTCGGTCTGCGATTGTGAAAGTTAAGCAACTTTCCCAATGGTCAATTCTAGGATGGGTAACCAAAATTACCTCTTTAGCCGTCATGACCTGTGTGACTTTCAATTTGGAGTAAGATTGGGTCCAGCCACAGTATAGACAACTAACTGGGAAAAGCAAGGAGCAGTTTGATGGTCTGCGATTGCAGATGTTAAGCAACTTTCGCAATGGCCAATCCTATGATGGGTGACCATATATTACCTCGTTAGCCGTCGTGTCCTGGGTGACCTTCAATATGGAGTAAGGTTCGTGTCTGGCCACAGCGTACACGACTAGGAAGTGTATCTTCCTTCTGTCCAGAGGTGAAGCTGGCTCCAGGTCTCCACGGCAAGACTCTCCCGCCAATTCTTCGCAGCAGCGGGAGAAGATGAGTAGGGAAGCCATGTTTAGAGGTTGATTCGTTGGAGACCTATGAAAGGAGTTAATTATTTATACGGTTAAGTCTATTTATTGATTTTGAGTCCGAAATCAATTATTATTATTGTTTACTAGTGGACATGACGTAGAATATAAAATTGGTCTACATTAGATTTGATAAAACACAGATCCCTGTAACTGAAAAACGATTCGTTCCTAAGATGATACGCGAAGCTATTGAGATTAAGAAACATCCTAATTTCAATAGGGATGATTGGTATATACCACCAGCTTGGGAACTCATTATACAACATATAAAATCCCAACCCCGAACACACACTGCAAGACCAATAGATACTATTAGTTTATTTTTGTTTGCATGATTTAGCATAAGAAGGAGACAGAAATCCTCTCTGAGTTTGTTTCGCCGGTTCTTCTTAGAAAGGTCTCCCGATTTTGGAACTGGTGGTAGATTACGTTTAGTATTGGTCAAATAAATAAACTAAAAATTATAAAAAAGAATCAAATAAAGTACTTTATTAATTATAATTAGCTAAGACAGATGCTCATACGTTGGGTTTTTAAGGTTGGCAATTTCCAACTACAAACCTGATTTTTTTAATCTAGTGGAAACGCTCAAACACAATGGTCACAGTAAGATAAATAAGTAGTCACTAAAGCTAATATTCTGTTTCATGTTAGCCCTCTTATTAAAATAACAAAATACTACACAATTGTGCACTGAACTGTGCTGTTCCATATAAGATTTCAAGAAGTATGTAATTGGTTGATCGCACACGGTTTCGACAGTAAACAGTAGATCTTGGGTTACGGTTCCGACAGTAAATAATCTTATCAAGATCATGGGTCTTATCAAGTCGGCCACCCCTAGTATAGATTTTATAGACTAAATTCTGGTCACCTTACCTCAATCGCACATGTCTGTAGCCAGGCCTGAGACATTGTAGAGGAATCACTCTCTGCGACAGCATGTAGTTAGTGTCTGCGTCGTATACTTCGAATCTAACAAATGCGAGCTCTGGAAAGTTTATCTGAAAACGATTTTTATCGTTAGATTAATCCATTAGCGTCCCTACAGCGAATATAACAGTGATGTTTCGTGGTACTGAGATATGCACAAAACTTTGTCACCCAATTATTCTATTCCATAATCCCGTGAAAACGACACTATAAACAATATAATGGTGTAGATTCTTAAATGATTCTCTAAACTTAATGATAAATTTAACATCAGTCTCTACCGTTCATTCTGTATAGAGAATGACAAGGATACACTGTTGCAAAATTTAAGTTTAGTTTACGAGAATCAAGCCAGAATCGACGCCATTGACACATTTGGCGCCCTTAGCACCCTGTCCCCCTTATTGAGCACCATATTAAATGATATATTTTCCAAAATTTTCTACCCCTTAATCTATTAAATCTTAAAAGAAAAAGGGACAATGATCCGTCCATACAAGTGCGAATGGGTAAGCAAGCTGATTCTACCAAGCTCTCATTCCTTGTGATTAGGTAGTTTAATTTGTATATTTTAGTATTATTGATAATACTATGATTATGTGTTATACAAATAATACTATGATTTCTGCCTTAATAGGCACTTTTTTTGATCCTGTTCATACTGAAATAAATCTTCTTAATCATACTGGTACTGACTGAACAGTGTTTAAATGGAAACTCGAACTGTTATCACAAATTTTTTTATTTCATATTTTAAAAGAAACGAACTAACCTTGAAATTAAATGTCTCATTCCAAATTGGATTTAGAGCGTTTCTTCTCGCGACTTTCGTTCTTATCTTCTTACAATCAGCCGGTACTCCTAGTATCTCCACTTCGACAAAAGCGTTGTAGAAAGAATAAACATTCTCTGCCACATATTGTCCCGAAATCACAGCCAGAGTCAGATGAGCAGCGTGTATACCGTCGAATTCTTTGTCCATTGGGTTGAATCTAAAAGAAGCATTCGACAAGGTCAGTGTGGGTAACAAGTGTCTCTGTTTCTGTGAAATGTATGTAGACGACAATGAACCTTTCTCTGAATCTAGGCCTATTTTTTTAATCGATTTTTTATACGACGCTGAAAATTATGGACATCGTGTACCGCAAGGTGCTATTTTCGGACCTATATTTTATTAAAAACTTCAATAATATAATACCAACTAACACAGGGTACGAGGATTGTTTCAGTATGACAAGGTCTGGAGGACGTCTGTTTAGTATAAAGTTTTACCAAATCAGCTACCTTCCTAACTAAACTAAAAGAGTAGACAACATGTGACTTTCAATGACATTAAATTAATTAAAACTCTGCAGCTGTCAGTGTGTGAGGTCGAGTACTTACCGTCTATAAGCTATATGTGTCAGGTCCCACATCACCGGTGGTTTGCGCACATATCCGACGCATCCATTGTCCTCAAACATGGCGGCGTTAACCGCCATCGCCGCGTCTTCCGTCTGGTAGTTTAAGGCCACTAATTGGACCCCGCAGGACCAGAATACTACCGGGTCGAAGTTGGACGAGTCTATCCTTAGGCTGCATAGAGAGGTATTGAAATATTACTTTAATTAAAAAAAAAACACATTATTACGTTGGGCATATTGTTGCGATTATCATGTTGATCATGATTATTGCGATTGATTGACACTAACGACCCGTTTTAATAATTTACATCCAGTAAAATAAGAAGCTTTTAGATATTTGCTGCGTAGATATTTTTGTACTGAAACTTTTTTACGAAAATCCTGTGGAAATCATGAAACGGAAATGCGTCACACGACCGTCAGATGACTTTATATGTGTTTGGGATGCGTGCGCAGCTCTTCCCGACGAGCATGAAAGTTGGAGGGTAACTCGGTGAAGGCTGAATCGCTATGAGCGTCACACGAGACAATATATAGAAATACATATATATGAGTGATGCGTGCGCTGCTCCATCCCCTATGCCTTATGCACCGCCTAATGTAAGGTTATTTAAGAAAAGAAGTTTCACTTCAGATGTGTGCTCCGTGCACACTATTGTAATTATTATTTAGATTAAAATAACAACTGTTAAGAACCGAAACCAGCATTACCCTGACTTTTACTGGTGGTTGATTTTTGAAACTGGTTCTATGTGTAGCAATATATATTATTGCACGTAAACATTGTGAAATAATTTTATTTAACATTATTGAAGTTTGAGCGGCCATTTTTCCTCGCACTTAGAAGTACCTGTGACCGGTAGTAGCAAAAATATTTGGACGATTTAAAACAGTTGCATTATACTTTCAATTTGAATAAAAATATTTTGTCATTAATTGATTTTGGATCAAATTGAAATGATGAAAAAGACTATAATATTGATAATTCGTGATTTTTCCCTCGTTCCCTTTCGAGTTTTCTATTTCTCTTTTTACTAGGTAAAAGAATTCTTGATAATATCTATAGGTTCCTTTTTTCATTTTATTTATTGCCAGTTTCAAAGAATAGAATTTAATATTGTGATCAATCGCATCTTAAAACCGCAGAGGTTTGCATTTATGCGATGTATGCCTGCACGATCATCTTTAATATTGCTAGAGGAGTTACTTTAAGTATTACATTAATAACAAAAGTGGTATGAATGCACATTTGACTTACCCGGCGGGGTAAGTTCTAACAAGTTGTGTTTCAGTATGGGCTATCAAAGCCCTGGGGTGTTTCCTGCATATTTTCTTGCCTATCGCTTCGTTAACTGAAGAACAGCGGTAGCAAGGATGATGGACCGCTGGCACGTTCAAACATCGCCCTCTCGTGGAGCCCTGGGACTGCTGGGCGATTTGCTGCTGGAATAGAAAGAAAGCATAGATAAATAAACAATGCCCCCCTTTTACTAGCATTCTTAAATTGGATAACGAATTTGACATTCATATAAGTTATTTCTCATGTCAAACGCACTCCACACTAACAGCTATAAGAGGAATAGGAAGGGGAACTAGAAAGCAAAAGCGAAAATACAAGAAAATGGGAAGATGAAAAGTGACTAAAACAATAAGAGGGAACAGGAAGCGAAACTGAAACAGGCAAATTAGATAAAGATGAAGAGTAGAGAACAGGAAGGGAAGGATGAAGAGGCAAACGATGAGCAAGATGAAGGGGGAGATAAAGAGAAAGATGAAGGAGAAGACGAAGGGAAAGATGAAGAGGAAGAGGAAGGCTAGATTGCAAGATGAATGGAAGATAGAGAGTAAGATGAAAAGCAAGAGAAGAGAAAGAGCAAGATGAAAGGGAATACGAAGGCGATGAAAATAAATAACAAAATGAATCAAAGATGAAGAGCAAGAAGATGAGGAAGTGGTAAACGAAGTTCAATATGAAGATGAAGAGGAAGGGAAGTCAAAGAGATTATGATTGCTCACGGTGCCAGCACTGTCGCTGCTCTCCGAAGACTCGAAGCTGCTGCAGGGCGCGCTGTCCCGCGTCGCCGCGCCCGTCTGCGCCTGCCGCACGCTGCTGCGCGGCGATAGAGGATTGAGGCCGCGGAACTTTATTGCCTGCGGGATAAGGGCTAATATTAAATGACAAAATGTTTGGCTAAACGCTGCATGGCTGAAATGGAGAACACTCTCAGGAGTACTTTGCGATCCCCGTTTGCCAAATAAAACAAAGGGCATAGTGTATAAAACCGCAGTCCGCCCGATGTTTTTATATGGATCCGAATTTTGGACAGTGAAGAAGAGTCAAAGTGTCGCCGCACACGGGCCACCGATCACAACCACAAAACGCCGCCACCGGCATATTTCTTGAAGTTTTCATACATTTTATATGGACTCGTCACACACGGTACGCCGGTGGCCGCCACACGCTACAAATCGTCGTTGCTCGCTTCTTGTGGCCTGCACCGACCACTTAATGCGCCGATACAAAACGCCGCAACACGTCACTCGCGCGATTCCCCACCCGTATCTCCCTTACCTTAGTCGGCCGCTGTCGCGCTTCAGCCACTTTAGTAGCCGCTTCTAGCTTCTCGTGGCGGCGTTTGTGGTTGTGGCGTGTGGCCTGTGTGCGGTGACACATAATTATGCAGAAAATGCATGTCAATGAAATGAAAATGCTGAGATAGGCCGGCGGTGTGACGCGACATATAACATACGACAACGAGTATATATGAGGCAGTTTCAAAGTCGCACCAATCGCCGAAAAACTCACTGTACGGTAATGTCCAAAGAAGTGAAGATCATGTTGTACAGATCGCACTGAAACTGCCGGAACGTAAGAAAGATGAGAAGCAAGATGAAAAGAGAGTAGAAGACGTCCGCCTCCGACCTGGTGGTCCAAAATAGAGAAAGAGCTCAAGGAAGCCCAGTTGCCGAAATGGATAACCCAGGATAGATTATCCTGGAACGCAAAAGAATGAGGAGAACCGATCCCAAACAAAGGGATCAGGAATGGACGAAGATTGAATTACGAAATATTGACAAACGTTGTCCTGACCTACAAAAATATAAAAAATAAGTGTAGAACTCGATTGCAACGCGACTTCATCCTCTAACTTTAGTTTCGCACAATTTTATGTTTTTTCCTTAAAATCTTCTATTCTATTATTTAAAGGAATCATTAAAAACATTATAAAGAAAAGTTGGATGAAATTGGTAGCTTTTCTCAAGTTATGGTGTGATGAAGAGATATGGGAATCCGTCTTTATTTAAGTGGCATAGACATTTTTGTACAAGTTTATTTTATAAATCATGGACTAATAAGCCTACCTACGAAAATTATACCTAGATTCATGTTTTTAAATAACATTGGTATAATTATGCTCTAAGACCAATTGAGGTGTAAACAGTGACGTAGACCGTTTTAATCGATCCTACATAATTGAATATTCGATTCGCTTTGAACCTTTCCTTATCCACTAAATCAAATAATCGGTACACACTAAGTGGTGTGTATGAAGTTAAAATAGGACAGAGTATGTATATAGTTCGTTGAAATATTTAAAATCTTTGATAGCTAACGGGGTAGTAGATATTATGTTTGTTAATTAAGGAATCACTAACAAGTACGATTTCTCGATGCCTCTGGTTGTGCAGGTACAAACCCCGGGATTTGTATAACTAAACATAAATTTGTATGTAAGGTGAAAAGTGCGATGCGGCGATAAAATTAAATTATTTACGGAGATATAGATGACGCGCGAATGTAGGACGATCAACGACGAATTAAGATTAACTAAAATGAACGTCGTAGGAAGCTGAGGCAGTACGATCAAGCGCTAACGTGCGAACTTTGCGCAGTTACCCAAACCCCAGAAGTAAACAGGACTGAAGAATGGTTTCATTGCACCTGATTAATATGACGAACAAACACAATTTTGAATATAAAACAACAAATTAGGGAACCGCAAGAGTGGCATAACCACGTAGAGCATTAGGAGTACATATTATTATATGTATACGAAATCCCCCGCCGCGTTTGTCTAATCGTATATTTTAAAAAGTTAATGGCTTTCTTGTGGTTTTTGTCATCAGTTACGGAAGGTTTATAAGTATAATACAAGCCCAAAAACAAACTAGAGCAAAGCAAATTTAAAGCAAGCAACAAGAAGCAAGTAGGTATGGTACAAAAACTCCTTTTGCAGATTGTTGTGATTTAAGTAATATGTTCTCAGTTATTGGTTTTGTAGACTCATAAGTTAGATTCTGGTTTGCTTAGATATTTTGTCAATGCTTAATAATCTAGAAATAAATATTACGTTCGGTTTTTTAACGTAAAGATACTTAGTAATATTTATGTTTCATACATAATATATTCCTTAATGGTTTTTTTTGTGTAATTAACAGCTTTTCGTGACCTTGATTAGAATCAAAATATACATCACCTGTACATAAGTCACCATGTCGCTGAGCTCCCTCGCGATCTGGTTGTTCCTTTTCCTGGTGTTCGCCTGTTTCACGCTACCCGATACTGTCTCGCTGTCCCCCTCACTCCTTCGAAAGCTTTGGTAGAAGGAAAGAGACGTCCGACCGCATTTGTCCTCCATGGAGTTCAAGATCTTGTGAAGTTCCTTTTCTGAAATAAAAAGAAAGAATTCATCATCAATAGTGAATTGATATTGTGTTTATTTCAAAAGGCCAAAGTGGTAAAGAAGCGAAGAAGCGCATTGTATGCCGGAGAATAGTGTTCAAATAGACGTATTAGACAAAGTTAAGGCACATTTCAGGAGCTTGATGGAGCGGGTGATTAGCATGTTCGACTGCGATCGCTGAAGTTAGGCAACTTTCGCGGTGGCCGGTCTTTGGATGGGTGACCAAAAAAAAAATTACTATGCTCGAGCTCCTTCGGTCTTAGGAAGGCACGTTAAGCCGTTGGTCCCAGCTGCATCTGCATTCGTTAGCACCCACCACTGGGCCCGCCTGGTTGGTCATGGCCCAATCTCCCTAATCCATCCATAGGGAAGGCCTGTGCCCCAGCAGTGGGGACATTAATAAGCTGATGATGATGAAGGCATATTTAACTTTCTTTCTTTCCAATATCCCGATAATAGACGGAGGATCTGGGTGACGGAAGATAAGAAATAGGGTTATATTGTTACCCTCTATGTACGCAATCCTTCAATAATATTGTTAAAAAAAAACAATTCCGACCCTAGTTCACTTACCGTCTAACTCTTCATCATCTTCATCATAGTCCTCATCGGAGAAGTACTCTGTGAGGGAGCTGCCTGCAGACTGGTTGGACATGATGGAACTGGTACGGTTGCTCTGCTCCGGCAGTGATGCTGACGTTTGTCTGATACCATTGGACCTGAAAGATAGAGCAACAAGGTTGTTGTGATTTCCAGTGGAAAGGACAATGGGCCAAAAGCACCCACTATGTAATTAGTATAATTCGGAAGATCTATTTCGGAAGATTAACAGATAGTTGCCTGTTTTTAAAGATAATGCATAAGAGTAACTTTTAAAATCAGGTGTCTTAAATGTATTTCCGGTTATAATAAGGTACTCTGTGACCGAAACTGTGTGATGATTGTGAATGAGCCACAGATTAGAGAGATTTTTAAACTCTCGTTAACCAAAGACTTAGGTTATATTATATAGAGATTTAGGTTATATATTCTTTATTTTTTATTGCATGCCACAGATAGTACAAAAAACAACTTCAATATTCAGTAGTTTCATTATTTTTGTTATGTTTTTAATATAACCATATTTTAGATTTTTAGTGTATCACACCTTATAATTTTATTTATTTATTAATTTATAGTCGGGCAACGTTGGGCCATAGATAGATACCTTAAAGTCTAACATATTTACAGATTATTAATGTGTTTATGGAGGTGTTTGGCGAAAAATGTATGGCAATAGACTTTATGATGTAGCCTACCATCTATAATTATTGTCTGAGCACATTTGCATGTAGTGGAAATGATAATATAGTTGTGGATATTGATACCACAGTGTAATAAAAAAAATGATTTATTTTATCGATCTTTACAAAATAGATTTGTTTTTATGTTATATAAATAACTTCGATTCAGTCTTTGGCTGAATGTTACTACACCCATAGCCATTAAAAATGATCCGTATGTTTTCCAAACCGGTAAAATTAAAAGTCCTTTTTAAAGTAAATATATTATACAAAGGTGTCCGTTGAAATCTAATGACTGTAAATTAAATTATAAATTACGCCAAGAATTACCGTGTATGTCAATATTTTTTGTGCATTTGGGCCAATTTGAGCAATCTCCTTTTCTATTTTGTAGGAAATTACTTATACTCTTAACATATTATGTGGTAATTGTCCAGTTCTTCATATTTACTATGCAAGATGTGATTGGGTCGTGTTCTTCGCAAAGTCCAAGATACATTACAGCTTTAGTCTGATCTGTAAGCCTCCGTCACGATTTTGTAGATTTTAGAAGACATTAATTACCATATTATATGCAAGTTTGTTTTACTTCAACGAATTATGTGCCTATAATATTTTTATCGAGCAAGACCGTTTGCGTGTTTGCCTTCCATAAGTTACAAAAAAAATATATAGCTATTTTATCAATAAAAACGTACTTACAAGTTTACATCAAGTCCAATGTAGTTAAATGATAGAACTCTTGGAAGAAAATACAAGTTTGTGAAAGTAATATCTTTCGCAGTGGTCGATCATTGGATGGGTGATCAAAAGTATACTATCACGAGTTCCTCTGTGCTTCGTAAGACACGATAAACAGTTGGTCCCTGCAGTCGTTAGCACCCACCAATCCGCAGTGTGACCGCGTGGTGGGTCAATAATCAATCTCCCTATTCCATAAATAGGGAAGGCCTGTGCCGCAGCAGTGGGGACATTAATAGGCTGATGAAAATTATAATATTATATATAATATGACTTACCGAAAGGCGCTGGCCAGCACTCCTCCATAGCCTTGTGCTGAGCTTGCTCCGGTTAGCCCAACAGTGGGACTAGCCTCAATTGGGGTCAATTTTTTATTCTTTATAAGCACCTGTCGACAAATATGTGTGTATATATGAGTCGTAAAGCGATTTATTTGTAGTGCAACAAAATTTGGCAGTGGTCCTAATTCACATGACATCATAGAAATATTTTCATTAGCTTCTTACGATTTGAACTGTGCTCATTGTAAATACAAAACAGTATTAATAAATTTAATGTTAACGGGAAAAATTTAAAGATTTTTATGCAATATCATTGAAGATAATATGCTAAGTGTGATTTCTCAATCTCCATATTCCATCCATAGGGAAGGCCTGTACCCCTGCAGTGGGGACATTAATAGGCTGATGGTGATGAATCCGTAATAATCCCATCCTTAATTATTAATTTCTAGTAATAACCTACCTTGTATTTGAGCTGCTCCGGACTGGGTAGCCGCGGCTCGTCCGTGTAGTCTGCTTCGAAAAGAAATGACGTAACCAACTTGTCTCCGAATACTGCCTGGATGAAGAGGCAACTAGTACAGTATCAGATTAATTATATCAATAAATACAATGTGATTCAACTGAGAATAGGACCAACTGGGCGCCATATTGTGACGTCATAGCTGTCAATTCAAACCAGTTAGGTATAGTGAGCAAAAAAGTTTTTCTTTAATAAAACTTATTTACCAAGATTAAGTAAGAAAAGTATCAGATTTTAATAATATTTATTTATTAAGACTGAGTGAGAAAAAACATTAATCAGAATCTAGCTATTTAATTCCGCTCATCTCTGCACTACCGTCGGAGTAGTAATCATCATCCGCCAATGCCGATAAAAAGGCTATAAAATAAAATATCAATTATTTAAAATAAAAACGACAACTTTATTTAAAATAAAAACGGTCTTTTTATTACCTGTATTTATAATAAAACTAAAGTTCTTATATTTCCCTTTTCCAGTACTCATTTTCTATACGTTTCATATGATTTATTTCTTTCTTTGGTTTACAAATGTTTGGTATTTATTCTAAGATTAGCTCAGTGCTAAAAAAAGTGTTATAATTAAAGATTTTTTTGCAAATCGTACTTTCCAAGCGACATTGGACAGATAGAGGTCATTGGCTTTCCTATTCTTATTTGAATCGCAAAATACAGGGCCATACCCTAGACCCAAGCACTACTTTTCCTAGCCTACTCACTTTGCTGGAGCTATGAAGAATCGTATCGTCATCGTTAATATTTTAGGCAAGGAGCCAGTTTGTTCTTACATCCGGTAGAGTCGCTCCTTAGTTTGCATAGAATCTTTGACGATGCGAAATGATTACCGTGCTATCAAAATCCGTGCTTCGGCCTCAGGTAGAGAGTTCTTATTGAAGTTATACTTCTTTAGGCGCGTTATGAAAAAATGATGAGAGTGAAATTTTAAGATGCGCGCGCATCACTGTATCACAAAATTTTAACAGCAAGAAGTTGGTCGCTTTAGCGACCAACTTCATGCGTTACTTTTGTGTTTACCGCACATTAAGAAAATCTACCAACAAAATAGAAATAGAATCTCTATTTAGTGGGTGCTAACGACTGCATTGTGAAGGCCTATCAAAAGTATTTATTAATCTGGAACAACGGAACCAAAGCGCGATTCAGGAGACTACAGCGCCATCTCTTGACCATTGGTGTAGTAGAACCAAAAACCATATCTTTATTTTTTGTAATAAAGTAACAGTTATAGGTATTCATATTTATAATATCTAAAGTATTTATTAATCTGGAACAACGGAACCAAAGCGCGATTCAGGAGACTACAGCGCCATCTCTTGACCATTGGTGTAGTAGAACCAAAAACCACATCTTTATTTTTTGTCATAAAGTAACAGTTATAGGTATTCATATTTATAATATTTATCCACATGTTTCTAGTTTGTATATTCGGAATACGTGTTTGAGTTTCATACAAGTGCAAATCACATATGTTCTAATAAATTATATTCAGTAGCGATTTTAATTGAATATTTTGATTATTTATTTATTTTTTCAAATTAAAACTGAACTTTATTGACTGTGTCCTTTTCCAGACTTTTTATTAATTTATTGTAATTAATTATTTGCATGCAACTAAAAACTAATTTTAAACGATGCCAAAGAAGGATAACTTCCCACGCGCTTACATAAGTACACGCACCCATTTTTTTATTTATTATATACATTAAATCTTATTTTTAAACATTATAGTAGTAATACATACAAAATGCAAAATTCTATTGAAGGTAGCCACATCATGCTTAGGAGACAGTGCGAACGGACAGGATTTTAATTAAAAACAATCAGAGAGACAAACTGAAACAAGATATGAGTAATGAAATTTATGAACTATTAGTGGCGCCTTTGAAACTATACTCAATAGAAAACGATTTATATAATTCTTCGATATAACGAAGTGAACGACAAAAATTAAAAATCGCGAAGTGAGATGGTAAAGTATTTGAGCATAGGATATCAGAAACAACGAAGGTAACAAAGCCAAATGGTAGGTTCATGAGCCAGCACGCTGACAGACGGTTCGACAGCTGATGCTTAGAAGAAGATAAGGGTTATAGGGTATGGATTATGGAACCCTGAAACCTTTTTAAAGACAAAAGACACACACTTTCCAGTAATATAGATTGTGCAGACATGTTCTAAAATCCATATGCATATTAATATTAAAATACGAAAGTATGTCTGTCTGTATGTAACCACTTCACGCTAAAACTGCTAAACCGATTTAGATGAAATTTGATGAAAGGCATAGGATATTATTTAACCCAGCAATCACCTTTAAAAAGGGGTATAAATGCAGGTGGAAGTTTGTATAGGTAACCGATCTTTCCACGTAAAAAAAAGTCGCATGCAATGGTAGATTTATCACCAGGCGGGCCATATGTTCGCTTAACACATTTTTCAGTTAAAAAACTCCACTAAATAACTACAGAACTAAGATTCTGACCTCAAACGTACTGGCCATGACTTGCTGCTGCGGCAGACTGCAATGATTTTCTATGCTTAGGATGAGAGGATATGGTGATGCGACGAAAGCACTTCTGCGAAAAAAGAGTATGGACTATATTGTCAGTTGTTGTTACAGAAATAAACAATACTCACTTAAATAATTCCTCATGAAAAAAATAGGTTAAATAAAATACTTAGTTTTTTTTAAAAATCTATTCCCTTGAAGCAACCAGTGGAAGAAGGAGATGATTGTGCAATATTTAAAAATTACGTAGATGCGTCATATAACAAGGTCATTAATTAACGACAAATCGATACCTGCAATTTCAATTGACGTAAAGCACTTAAATCTAAAACTACTGTGTCACAACACTACGCACCTCGCGATAGTTTCCACTACTCGCCGAAACGGTATCTTCGTCGTGAAAGTATGCCCGTGGTAGATGACAGGGCTGCCGTCGTCTCCGTCCCAGCAGTCCAGCTCGACACATCGGCATCCTGTTAGCAAAACCTGCAGGAAATAAATAAAGTACAGGACTTCCAAGCGACAGATCACAGATATAGACAAAAGTCAAAACATTTTTATTCAAATTGGATGCACAATACAAATCTTTTGAATCGTCCATATTTGTTTCCCTACCACTGGTTAAAGATATTCTTTTAACTGTGGAGAAAAACTGCCAAGAAATCACAGTGTTAAATAATTATGTCACAACATTAACAAAATATTATATTGTTACGGTGTCAATACAAAATCATTTATCATCTTCATCATAATTATAGAAAATGCCTGCCGAATAGTTAAAACCCAAGCATTTTTGTTTGAAATATAATCGGACACACTATAATAGGTTTTATTAATAAGAACTCTTTTAATGGTAGCTTTAAATTTATTGACGCTAAATTTTTGGATATTGCTTGGGACTTTATTATAGAAGCGTACACAAAGACCTTTAGATTTTGTGGAGCCTTGTGGGTGATATAGCGAATTTATTTTTCTTTCCAGTATTAAGCAAGTTAATAATATTATACTTAACACTATTTATAGGAAATAATGTAATTGCAGCACAAAAATAGTTTGAATGTCAGCAACATTTCCCCACAGCAAAATACCGTACTACATCACACTTGAAAATAACTAAAATATACTAATCGAGCAGTATCTACGTCAGTTAATTGGTGTATCTTCATTACTGCGTAGGCTGCAGAGCTAAGTGTCTTCGACAATTTCTCAATATGTGGGCCCCACTGAAGCTTTGAATCCAGCGTAATGCCTAAGAATACTATAGTGACCACAAGGTCATTATTCCCATCTTTGATAATTACACTTGTTTGTGTCTGCTTTACATTGGGTAATAAAATTTTTAAACACTTAGTCTTGCCTTCATTAAGACGTAAATTATAAGCGTTAAACCAGTGGACTACTTTAGAGATGGCATTGTTCACATCGTCAAAAAGTGGTTGCTTTCCTTTAATTGTAAATAAGTATTAGTAGTATCATCAGCAAACAATACTATCTCGTGATTATCCCTTACAAAGTAAGGTAGGTCATTTATATATATTGAAAACAAGAAAGGACCAAGAAGCGAGCCCTGAGAAACATCTTTACTAACGATCCGGGAGATCTTTTGCCATTGATGTCAACTCTCTGGATCATATCGCCAAAATATGACAAAATGAGATTGACATTTTAATGACCTTTAAATTCATAATGGCGTATGCGTAAAACCTTGGACAAATCACAGAATATACATAAAGCATCACGTGACGAATCACGTGACGAAACGAATTCGTTCCAAGCATCAAAAATTTAATGTAAGAGCTCAACATCAGCGTCGGTAGTAGAGCATCTCCTTGTAAATCCCAAATGTGTTGAATGAAGTAACTTATTTTTATAGAAATAAGACTGCATTTAGGTCTAAAGTTTGTGGGGTCAGATGTACTACCGGATTTATGTAATAGAGTTATTTTGCTACGTTTCATTAGATCAGAAAAAATACCACAATCAATACACTGGTTAAATATGTCAGCTCATATTAGAGTTATTGTTTTAATTACTGATTTAGAGACATCAACGGAATTTCTCTACAGACCAGAGGTTTTTTTTTATTGGTCAAAAGATTATTATATCATAAGATATATAATGAAATTCAAACTGGGAATTAAAATTTTACACACTATCTTTTAAAATATACTCGGCTTCAATGGGGGAGGAGCTCAAATGTTTTGTAGTTGAAACTGGAATGTAAGTAAAACAAAATTCAAATTCATTGGCATCTTCAATATCTGGTGTACCTAACTTTTTTGTTTTTAATGTGTAGATTATAATTTTTATTTCTGATTTTAGACTTTCTAGTTTCATTAATTATAATTCCAGGACATTTTTATTTTGTCATTACTATTTTTAATTTTTGAACTCGGACATTTATTTAGACTTGGCTATTCAACAAACTTTGTAAATAATTTTGAGTAGGTAACTCTCTGTACATACTGTTTGAAATCTGCACTAGTGTTATAATTTTGTTCTACGTAAAGTTCATACTACTACTACTTTTATATATGCCAGCCGTAGCCCACTCACTAATGAGTACATCATTACTAACAGTTAATTTTTTTGGGTAAAAATATAAATTAGTTAAATTAGGTGCAATGCAATTTAAAAAAATATTGTACAAGGCAATTTCTTACTAAGTTCATTATCAAAACGTTCCAAACGACTTCAAGTTTTTGGTACAAAATTTATAACTTTCTTTATCACTTGTTTACATTGCTGGGGAAAAGTGACTATCTTACCACAATGATCAGAATCTAGTTGACTGATGACCTGTTTTGAAAGTCGTACAAGATCTGTTTAGACATTGTCAATACAAGTGGTTGAAGTACCTAGCAGCTATTCTAGTTGGCTCCACAAACAAAATCTTTAGATTGTATGATGATATTAGCATTTAAATTTAAATTTTTGTATAAAAGTTAGAATAGGGAAGGGAAAGATACGGACTGCAATCATTCAATCGGTTAATTCGGTATCTGTTAAAGTCATATTTTACATACATACACAACATATATTTTGGAATAGTGATGAAAATCTCAGACTAAAAATAGTATTTTAATTTAAGTACCCTACTCAAACTGTCGTAGTCGGAGACTTTAATTAACTTTTAAGTTTAGTTCAAGTTATTAACTTTCTTTAAGAAGAAACATTGCGATAAAAATAAATGTTACGAAAGGAGACATTAAATGTCTATAAATATATTTTACGTCCTTGGGTACAGCTAATAATTTAAAGTAAACATTAATGATTAGGTACTCATTTAATAAAAAATCATCTGCGCATGTCAATGAGTATTGATCGACTCATTTTGTTACACTACGTATCTTCGCTTACGGCTCACATAAAGATTTAGTTGAGTAATACAAGCGGAGGTAGATTAAATCGGTATACCTATACCGATTTCAATTGAATAAAAATAATTGTGTACGTAGGCCGCACTTTTATCGCTGACCCATAGACAATCACAAACGTCAAGTTGTTGTCAAACAAATCTTAATCGGAATTTTGCCGGTGTGAATTTTTAATATTTTCTGGTGTTTTGGTACATTTAAACAGGTAAAATGAAAGATAACAATACCGATGTGGACTCAAGAAACGTTGTGAAGAACAGGGAGCTTCTATATCGCATGATAATAAGGTAAATCTGTTTTAATTGTATCGTATGTCTTTAGCTAATTATATCAATAACTTTAACGATTTCGTTGAATAAAAACATAACATTTTGCCTTAGGTCGCATAATCTAAGGTTTTAAGCTTAGAGGTCATATTTAATTGCATTATTTATTAACATTTGAGTGCTTTTTTTGCTTTAGTTTTGAGGTTATGTTTTCCAACTCTTTTGGTACAATTTTGGTTGGTCAAGCATAAATCAGCCCAAATTAGACTGACATACGACTCTACATATTATTATTTTTTAATAACGCACGATTGCAGGCAGTTTCTGTTCAGATATAAAATTTTGTAGCCTAAAAAGAAATCTACTAACCTATTGTTATTCAACAAAATTAGTTCTGGCATACTGTACTGTGTGTTTTTGTAGATACTATTTCATTTTGAATAAACATTCTGCTTTAACCATTTGTGAGGTTCTATTATAGGCAGCGCATTATATATATTTGCGTTTTCAAAATGAATGATTTCAAATTGCATATTCGGAAATATCAAAATATTAGCTTGACTAAAATTGCTTGTGCATACCTTTCCATGGTCTATAGCTTCCATGATAAATGTGAGTGTGTGTAGTTATAAAATGTGAGAATAGCAGTTATAAAGCACAATGGTGTCGATTCTGGCGTCATAAAGTTAAACATAAATTTGACAACATTGTATCCTTGTTATTCTCTATACAGAATAAAAAGAGAATCATGTCAGAATCAACACCAGTCTCTCCTTTTCATTCTGTTTAGAGAATGACGAGTATACACTGTTTTCAAATTTAAGTTTAGTTATCACAATCATACCACCAATGTTCTGTTAAAAATTGTTTTTTTGACATATATTTCCTACAATCGGGCGTCCTTTAAGAGAGGAGTGAAGTAGCATTTTTGCAGACCAGCAAGGTGAGGATGGTTGGTGTGGCAGTTTATAACTGCTGTATTGGCTATCTTCGCCTTTGGACTTTATCACCACTTAACATCAGGCGGGGTTGAGTCATTTGCCTACCTGGCTATGTATATATATATATATATATATATATATAAAAAAAACAATCATAGTTTTTAGGATTTATTTATGTATATTATGTTATAATGACTATGAGAAAAATTAAATAAAAGGCAAATTTATAAAAAAATCTCGTCTTTTACCACATGTGAAGTAAATGATGCCAGTATTTGGTACTTTATTTGTTACAGCCAGCTTTACTATGATGGATTTCAAGCCATAGCAGCAACTTTGGCTGCAGCCGTTCATGCTGACCCACCGTGCCCACCGAGTGATCGGTTTGTTTTATTTCTTTAATAACAATCTATCAATAAAAATTGCTTGATTTCTAGAAAGTCTTTAATATAATTAACAATTTGTGAATAAAAGGCTTTTCATTTAATTTATTTTATTAAACTGTGTAAAATATAAAACTTGTTTTTCATGGGTTAATGCACGAAACTTTAATTTATTGACTTTAAATAAAAAAAATGATACCGACGAAGCAGACTGTAAAGGCTGCGAAACGTCAATAAATAAATAAAGTGCATTAACCCGTGAAAAACTAGTTTTATTTATGAGTGATGTGCGTGAAAACCTAAGAAACACATGTGTTAAATATATAGTTTTTGCGAACCTCATAACTTATGGTTTTGTTTAGAGTTTATTTGAATAAAGATATTGTAGCAAATATTTTAATTTTGATATTATGTTCACAGGCTTCTTAACTTGATGATGGTCGGTCTACAACATGAGCCTGATAGAAAAGACCGTCTCGCTGCATCCAGCGGTGCAGAGCATTTGCTCGGAACTACTGGTTTTGGTGAGCAAAGTTAAAGTTATTTATTCTCTAGATACTGCCTGCGACTCCATGAGTCGGTGGTCATATGGGACCTGAACCATGGGCCCGAAAGCCCCCTTTGTAATTCATAATTATTTTTGAGATCCGTATATAGTAATTTTTCCTCTACACAAACTTTAATTTGGGGATATTATTTACAGCATTTGAGGAAACGATGTTTCTGTGACATACTGTTCTCTAAGTTTAACGAAATAAAGCACTTAATATTTAAATCTCTGTTACAGATTAGCATCTCTTAAACTGTAAATTGTTTGTTCTGTACTTCTGAGCAGAGTTTGGTATCACAATATTTATAAGTTGATTATCAAGCATGCCATATCCTTTTTAGGGTTTCGCAGTCCTGACAAGGAACCCTTATAGCTTCACCATGTTCGTCTGTCTGTCCGGGGTTTGCTTGGAGACAAGCTGCAATTTTGTGCATAATTTTGCAAGGAGAGAGCTGTAATTTTGTGAAGATATGTATGCTGACAAAATGGTAGAATAAAATATTGAAAGATATATTTTTTTAGGGTAGCCTTAATGTAAATTGGAGATGATTTTAATTTTTTCATCATCTATTTTATTGAGTGGGGTATCGTTGAATAGGTGGGTTGCATGCGCAGCTCTTCCCGATGAGCATGAAAGTTGGAGGGTAACTCGGCGAAGGTTGAAATACTACGAACGTCACACGCTACAATTTATGAGTGATGCGTGCTGCTCTATTCCCCTATGCCTTATGCACCGCCTAATGTTTGACGACCTCCATGGCCGAGTGGTTTCATGGTGTCGCCGACTCGAGAGGTCCCGGGTTCGAATCCCGGTGGGGGCAGATGTTTGTGTGATGAATACGTGCATTTGTACTCCAATCATGGATGTTTAATATGTATTTCTATATAAATCTACTTATATAATGTACAGTATATGAATTCTATCCGTTACCCTAGTAACCCATAACACAAGCCTTATAGTGCTTACTTTGGGGCTAGGCTAATTGGTGTGTTGTTGGACTTAAAAAAAAAGTTAGGTTATTTAAGAAAAGAAGCTTCACTTCAGATGTGTTCTCCGTGCACAATATATTTTTTGAATTTTTTAAGGGGATATAGTTTTTATAGCTCGATGGCGCAAGTGGTTAGCGCGTTCGGCTGCGATCGTTGAAGTTAAGCAACTTTCGCAGTGGTCGGTCATTGGATGGGTGGCCAAAAATTTACTATCTTATGCCGTTGGTCCCGGCTGAATCTGCAGTCGTTAGCACCCACCAACCCGCACTGGGCCCGCGTGGTGGGTCATGGCCCAATCTCCCTATTCCATCCATAGGGAAGGCCTGTACCCCAGCAGTGGGGACATTAATAGGCTGATGATGATATAGTTTTTTCGTTTGTCCGATTCTAGATCTTGAGTATGAAATGGACGCGTCCTCTTTGGCTCCCGAGCCGGCTACGTACGAGACTGCCTACGTGACGTCACACAAGATGGCGTGTAGGGCGGGTGCTTTCAGTAATTGTGGACAGTTGGTCGCCACCGGAAGTGTGGACGCCAGTATTAAGGTAAATTATTAAAATATTATTTGTTTTTTTGAAGCGATAACTTCTTGTGGGAGGGTAAACCGCTTCGTTACGTAACGCGTTACGGCACCAGTCTGTCTGGATTCCATTTGTAGCAAAGGAGATAGACGCAACACACTTCCTCACCCATCAATCCCAACTATCACCCACTTATCCTTTATTATCACCCACCAATCCCCACTATTACCTACCTATCCTTTAATATCACCCACCAATCCCCTTATCACCCTCGCATCCCTTCACCTTCCAATCCCCCTTTTCATTCTCGAATTCCTTTTCACCCTCCAATCCCCTTTTCTGTCCTCAGCAGCTGTCACAGCCTCTAGTCTATAGCCACTTTAAATACTACTGTATCTCTTGTCTATAAAAAAATACTAAAAACCCTGACTACAGTGCCACCTATCAGGGAAAAAATTATGAGAATATTTCTTGAACTTTCTTATTTTCTGTGCTACTTTTTTTTTCTGTTAAAACATTCAAAAAGTATTAATGAAACCTTATGTGACTGTACACTTTATGAAGTTAGTGATGTACCATTTAAATACACTTAGTGAAGTTAGTGATTTACAACTTTACTGCACAGCTGGAATGAATGAATGAAGTTAGTGATGTACCATCATATAAATACACTTAGTGAAGTTAGTGATTTACAACTTTACTGCACAGCTGGAATAAATGAATGAAGTTAGTGATGTACCATCATATAAATACACTTAGTGAAGTTAGTGATTTACAACTTTACTGCACAGCTGGAATGAATGAATGAAGTTAGTGATGTACCATCATATAAATACACTTAGTGAAGTTAGTGATTTACAACTTTACTGCACAGCTGGAATGAATGAATGAAGTTAGTGATGTACCATCATATAAATACACTTAGTGAAGTTAGTGATTTACCACTTTACTGCACATCTGGAGTGAATGAATGAAGTTAGTAAAGTACAATATATATACAGTTAGTGAAGTTAGTGATTTACCACTTTACTGCACAGCTTGTTGTTGTTTTAAATAAAACTCCATATGTTTTTAGTATTGTATAAGTAAAAATATTACGATGCTACTGTTTTCTTTTAGATTTTAGATGTAGAAAGAATGTTGGCTAAATCGGCTCCGGAGGAAGTGGACCCTGGGAGGGAGCAGCAAGGACATCCAGTGATCAGGACATTGTGAGTTCATCTATATGTATAAAACTCAAAGGTGACTGACTGACTGACATAGTGATCTATCAACGCACAGCCCAAACCACTGGACGGATCGGGCTGAAATTTGGCATGCAGGTAGATTTATAACGTAGGCATCCGCCAAGAAAGGATTTTGATAAATTCTACCCCGAAGCGAAGCGAGGGCGGGCCACTAGTTATGTAACAATTACCTACTATTAATACAAATTCAAAAGTTCTTTAGCATTTGACAAGTTTTACAAAACAATCTCCCGTCATTTATAATGCGATTCAACTAAGAATAGGATCGACTGGGCGCCATTTTATGATGTCAAAGCTGTCAATTGAAACAAAATAGGTAGACTGAGCAATAACAGTTTTTCTTCGATAAAACTTATTTACTAAGATTAAGTGAGAAAAAACATCAGTTTTTTTTAATAAAACTTATTTACTAAGATTAAGTGTGAAGAAATATCAGATTTTATTAATAAAATTTATTTACTAAGATGGAGAAAAAAAAACACCGATTTTTAATAACATTTATGACTGTGTGAGTAAAAATATTAATCGGAATCTAGCTCTTCAATTCCGCTCAGCTCTGCATAACTACCGGAGTCGTCATCGTCGTCATGTTTGTTTACAAATGTTTGTTTTTTTTTATTCTAGAATTAGCTGAGTGCTAAAAAAGAGTTCCAAGATTTTTTGCAAACCGTACTTTTCAAGCGTCGTTTGACAGATGGAGGTCATTGGCTTTCCTATTCTTATTTGATTATACTTACATTTATGGAGTGGATATTTATAATTCTGTTAGTTAGTTACTCTTATTTTCTTTTCCCCCGCAAGATATGATCACACCGATGAGATCACAGCCCTGGACTTCCACCCAAGGGAGCAGATCCTCGTATCAGCTTCCCGGGACTGCTGCATCAAACTATTCGACATAACCAAAGCGTCCGCTAAGAAAGCCTATAAGTCTATTACGGTAAGTAGATTTTGTTTTAAAGTTTATTTTTTTATTATTTATTAGCTCACAAAACAAGTTCAATTAAATATGAAAAATAATCATAGATATAATAATGTCTAATGCTTTAATCATGTTTCAATGATTTTTAGCCTATCCGCCTTCAAAAGCCAATTACAACAAATATAGGCTGATTAAGTACAATTTTTTTTATGATTTTTGATAGTTTAGAAGCATGCGGAGTTTTAATTTTAGCGAGAACCTATGGAAACTCCTTCTTCTACTTCTAAATTGAAGTTGAATGTTTGAGTAAATCCTACTAAAAACTAAAGTTAAAACTTTCAAGCCTTTTTTGAGTAACTTTCAGTAATTGCAGGAAGCTTAGTTATTTTTTTATTAAAACAACATTCAAGACAATTATGTCACAAGAAAAAAGACTGCAAAATACCTACTACGAAAAAAGATAAGAATATTTGAAACCTCGCTGGCAGAAATCATTAAAAATACACAAAAAAAAATATAACTCGAAAACTAAGAAAAATCGCGGAACATACATGGGGTATTTTCGGATACCCCCAGGTGCGAGGAATCTAAAAAAAATTAGTTGACGTCACTAGTTGGACCACCCTGTATATAAAACAGCAATTACTATATTATAAAACCAAAATGTAACTCTTAAACATGTGGATATAACGTGTTAAAATTTTATGAGCTAAGTTTACATCGAAATTATTTAAAATAGAATTAAACTAAATTCAAGAAGCCGACTGCAAAAAATGTCTAAGGAATAATGATCCTTAAGCAAGTTATCGTATAGACTACACATATTTGTGATACGATTATAAAAGGACATGTTGTTTTTATAGACTTGCAAAGCGAATAGAAGTAGAGATAGATTAGATTTTTGGCCACCCATCCAATGACCGGCCACTGCGAAAGTTGCTTAACTTCAACGATCGCATTAACTATATAACTTAAGCTAATACCGAAATTGCACATTCTCGTAGGACGCAGAACCGGTCCTATGCGTAGCATTCCACCCTCTAGGGGATCACATAATAGCTTCAACCACACACCCGGTGATCAGGTTGTATGACGTCACAACTAGCCAGTGTTACGTATGCCCTATACCGTCCCATCATCATAAGAAGCAAGTTAATTCCATCAGGTAAGTTGAAGAAATAATGTTTTTTTAGGCATTTAACCCAACGATACCTATTAAATACCCTAGATACACCAACACGAACAAAATCGTGCCCGAAACCTGTCCAAAAGGTACGTTGAACGATCCACGGAGCTCCGTAAGATAATCGCGTAGTCAAAATCAATATAAGGCATTATTTAAATATTGAAAGTAACCTTTAATACATACTGTATAAGGTCTTAAATAAAACGCATGCGTCAAGGACTTCTGACAGTTCGAAATGCAAGCTCGTAAAATTTTACGACTTATTGCTATATGCGGAAGAATTTAGACCTTAGTTCATTGATTCTACACGCAATTCTGAACGCGCTGTTAGCAATACAGCAGGCAAGGACCGCGAGGAAAAGAGACGGCTATATGGCGACGCATAACCGACCATGCATTTAAATATCACAAATATTTTATATTAAATCAGTTTATAGTAAGTATTAGATAAAAATTTACTCTAAATGCGTTAAATTAACAAACATTGACAAAAAGACGACACTTTTCGTTGTCTAAGTTTTATTTTCGCATTTTTTCGCGGAGCTCTGTGGTATCTTGACTTTGTAACGGTCCGCGCGTGACTGTGAACCAAGAAGTGCTTGAGTGGAGTTCAAGCACTTCTTGATTGGGACACATTTTGAGCGCTCGTGGTGTATCTAGGGTATTTAATATCGTTGTTAAATTATAATAATAACTGTTGATAGGAAAGAGAACCAAGATATCTTAGCTTTGTTGATTATGGAAATTGGCCGTAAGGTGACATTGCTTGGCCTATAAGTAATTAGGCTCACAATTCACCCATCTAGTCATTATTCCAATAAACTAATCGTAAGGCGTCTTGACGAATAAGGACTCTAGTTCACCATTCACTTATCCATTCACTCATATTGACCGAAAATGAGTAAACTTCGCTATTCACCAATTTATTCACTCGTTCAATGAACTGATCGTAAGGAATCTTGACCGATAAGGAGTCCAGCTCACCATTCACTTACCCATTCACTCATTGACTCGTTCAATACTCTATAGAATATTCATATTTACCAGATTCCTGTCCAACAGTAAGTGTTGACCGAAAATGAGTAAAGTTCACCATTCACCCATTTATTCACTCGTTCAATAAACTGATCGTAAGGCGTCTTGACCGATAAGGACTAAAGCTCACCATTCACTCATTCACTCGTTCAATACTCTATAAAATATTCATGTTTACCAGATTCCTCTCCAACAGTGAGTGTTGACCGAAAATGAGTAAAGTTCACTATTCACCAATTTATTCACTCGTTCAATGAACTGATCGTAGGGCGTCATGACCGATAAGGGAACCAGCTCACCATTCACTCATTCAATACTCGATAAAATATTCATATTTACCAGGTTCCTGCCCAACAGTGAGTGTTAACCAAAAATGAGTAAAGTTCACCATTCACCTATTTATTCACTCGTTCAATAAACTGATCGTCAGGCGTCTTAACCGATACGGAGTCCAGCTCACCATTCACCCATTCATTCGTTCAATACTCGATAAAGTACGCATATTTCACCAGGTTCTCGCCCAACGGTAAGTATTTCGCGAGCGGCAGTGCCGATGGGACAGTCAAACTATGGGACACGGTCTCGAATAGATGCTTCAATACGTTTGTGAACGCTCACGACGGTAGCGAAGTGTGTTCCGTAGCGTTCACACGGAATAGCAAGGTGGGTTTGATATCATTTTTGATTTTAAGTTATGTTAAAAGAGTGGAAGACAAGCATTTGGCCCGTCTGATGGTAACCGCCCACTATAGCTTATAGACGCTTGCAACACAAAAAAAACCGGTTGTCTGTAAAGTCGGTTTACTGACGATAGTTGAACGTGACAACGTTTTTTTACAAGTATGAATGTGCTTTGAGCAATTGTTTTACAACTTTTATTTACAACTTTTAAACATGTGTGATATCATTACCATTATGGCCGCAATTATCGCTGCTATAAACAATTGACACCACATTCACTTTTCACTGCACTTCTTATTTGACGAAAACATGTAAATGTATTGTATAGCAGCTGTCCACGCGGACGCATCGCTCACTCAAGTCGGAGAGAGACAGATGTCGAACGCTGCCGAACGCGGAGGCCGATTGTGCCTCTTTGTCGCTCGTTGTGTGCTCTCGCTTGTTGAGTCATGTTTTTTCGTGCGTGCACCTGGCTCCATCGAATTATAAGGCGATGTCACGTCAATAATATCCCTCGCCCCGTTGCCTACCCTGACCCGATCCCCTACCTCGTGGGCTCTAAAACCTTATTCCACCAAAAGGTATTGATATTTTACTGTGTGTTCTTCTTTTTGTTCTTCCACAGGCAGGTCAAATCCAAAGTGTTTTAAAAAGCAATGTTGGATGTTATGAAATTTATACTGCGGTTCCTCAGACGCTTTGAAATATCCCAATTTTCACTGAGACCCTTTAACGTCCGCGTGTACATTTACTAGCGCCTGCGATGGTATTTTATAATTCTCTGTAACCCCTCGTTTAGACCAAGAATGAAGTCATTCATTCATCATCAGCCTATTAATGTCCCCACTGCTGGGGCACAGGCCTTCCCTATGGATGGAATAGGGAGACCCACCACGCGGGCACAGTGCGGAGTGGCGGGTGCTAACGACTGCAGATACAGCCGGGATCGACGGCTTAACGTGCCTCCAGAAGCACAGAGGCATTCGAGATAGCTGATTTTTGGTCACCCATCCAATGACCGACCACTGCGAAAGTTGCTTAACTTCAACGATCGCAGCCGAACGCGTTAACCACTGGCGCCATCGAGCTCCTCGGTGATGCTCCTCTTATTAAATTTTATTATTTGAATTGATTCCATTGATGTTGTTTTTTTTATTTACTGTTTTGTATAACTTCATGCACTGCCCTACAGTATCTTATGACTTCGGGTATGGATTCCTCCATTAAGTTGTGGGAATTGGCCAGCAGTAGGTGCTTGATTCAGTATACTGGCGCCGGTACTACAGGTATTATAATTCTCTAAATAATGGTAATGGGACTTGGTGTGTCTTGTAATTTGTTATTTGATGGGTATAAGTCATTTTTCATAACAGTAATATGGTAGCGATCTAATGCCGCTTCCTATATACTAGTTTTAAAGGTAACTATAATAATATTATTGTAACTTTAAATCAATATTCTAAATGATGTAATGGAAGGTGACTTCAGAAGTATCTCTGAAGTCATTTTTCAACTTGACTCTGTATATAATACAGGGAGAAAAATATTGCCCTTGCTGAGTTTCTTGCCGGTTCTTCTCAGTACAAGGTCTCCCGCCGTAGTTTTGTGAACCGATGGCGTAGCTTCTAGACCTTCACAAGTGCTTGTAACAGCCTAGACTGAATAAATGATTTTTGATTTTGATTTTTGATTGACGGAAAAATCAACTAGCTCTCAATAAGTTTTCCAAAAAGTCGATTAAAACTTAACTGTTTTCAAATTTCAATGTTAGTGGGTGCAAAATTTGAATATACCGACATTGACTTGATGAAAACATCAAGTTAATGTCGGTATATTAAAATTTTAAATTTAGTGGGTTTCCTCAATAATTGCGTTTCCATTAATTAAACTTAAATTTTAATTAGCTTTCTTTTAAAGCCCAACTCGAAAGCAGCTATTTAAGTTATCAAATTAGTAGCGTCACTTCAAAATTAAGATTTAACTGTACTTAAGAGTTAATTGAACTATTGTTTTCTTTATTAAATCCGCAAACCACGATAGTACTGACATTTGAATTTAATAACCAATCACATGGGATATGGACTAATGATTTTCTTTTATGATTTTATTTTATTTTTAAGCATTTGACTGCTAGATGTTTAAATCTAAAGGGCAAAATGCAAAATTTGCGAAGAGATGACGCTGCCTTGCAGCTTAGGCTAGGAAAATTTCGACGCGGCTAATAGGGCCGTGGTAGCATAATGGTCAGTGCATTCACCCGGATTGCGAAGGATGCGGGTTCGAGTCCCGCCCGCTGCCTGGTCCGCGTGGATTTTTTTCTAGTAAACTTTTCTTTAGATTTTTTTTTCTTTCTTATACGCTTCATCTCACACTTATCTGCCAGTTTTACCTGACAGTATGTTAGGAAACAGTCCGTACTTTATATTTATTTTAATAGCATAAGTCCTTAAAAACTTTAATCGCTCAACTTTTTTGTTTTCTCTTTATTTGTGGCTACAAACAGTCATACATTTTAATATAATTGTTCTGTGGTTACAGTGAAATTATAAGAGACGACCTACAGTGCCAGCAATTTAACTTATTAGCTACAGAAAAACATCATAGAACAAGTATTGTACTTAAAAAAAAATACATAAGAAGACAAAACATATAAGCATGCAAAACTATTTTAATTTAAATGTTGTCTTTTAATTAAAAAAAAATAATTCACAGGCAAGCAAGATCATCACGCTCAAGCCGTATTCAACCACACTGAAGATTACGTAATGTTTCCCGACGAAGCGACCACATCTCTATGCACTTGGCATTCCCGCAATGCCAGTAGATGCCAACTGATGTCGTTGGGCCATAATGGAGCGGTCAGGTATGTCGTTCATTCACTCATTCATTCATACACAACTTTTTTTGTAATTGATGAACTTGGTGTGCTCGCAATGCTAGCTGATGCTTTTTGATGTCATTGGGTAATAATGCAACGGTCAGGTATGTCGTTCATTCATTCATTCATTCATTCATACACAATTTCATTTGTAATTGATGATGTTAGTGTGCTCGCAATGCTAGCTGATGCTTTTTGATGTCATTGGGTAATAATGCAACGGTCAGGTATGTTGTTCATTCATTCGTTCATACATCATCATCAGCCTATTAATGTCCCCTAACTGATGGGGCACAGGCCTTCCCTATGGATGGAATAGGGAGATTGGGCAATGACCCACCACGCGGGCCCAGTGCGGATTGGTGGGTGCTAACGACGTGCCTTCCGAAGCACGGAGGAGCTCGAGATAGTAAATTTTTGGTCACCCATCCAATGACCGACCACTGCGAAAGTTGCTTAACTTCAACGATCGCAGCCGAACGCGCTAGCCACCTGCGCCATCGAGCTCCTCATTCGTTCATACATTCAACCTTAAATAGGGGTAATGCCGGGGTACAGTAAACGAAATTCCCGTCAGTTAGATGATCAAAAAATAATAGACACGTACTTTTTCTTTGGGCAATCAACCAAAAAAATGACAAGTTATATCACTTTTAAGTGAAAATTGTACCAAAACGTTACGTCTTGCGACTTTTCAAATCAATATATCTCTGCAATGTTTATATTATGTGAAAAAAGGAAACATACGTGTCCAATACTTTTTGATAATCTACCTAATAAACGAAGAAAAAAAAATAGTCATCATCCCTATTATTTCATCATTGATGCATATGGAACGCTTGCAATGCTAGCTGATGTCTTTTAATGTCGCTTAGATATAAAAGGCCGTCAGGTATATCGTTCATTCATTAGTTTGATCATTCATACACAAATCAGTTCATAATTAATGCATATGGAGCTCTTGCGACGCTAGCAGATTCGTTTTGAAGTCGCTAGGGGTGTATTCCGAAATGCACATCAGTATACTGGCCAGTGGTAATGACGTCACGAATCCGACGCCATATTGTACTGGTATGCTACCATATTTTTACTGAGAAAACGAATATGACGTATGACCGAGCGTGCGTGAGATGCATTCGAATTTTGTTTATTTTTTTTATTTAAAGAATAATAATGGCATTGGAACAAAAAGAATTCCTTTCAATTGATGAGGTGAATAAAAAATATTCTTTATTCGCACTAATTTTAATATTTCGTCGATTTATGACGTTAGTGCACTGGCCAATATATTTCGGAACAATTCCCCAGTAAAGCGTCGATTCATGACGTCATTAGCACTGGACAGTATACTGGTATATATTACCCTAGGTCATAACAGTTCACACAATCATTCGTTCTATCATTCATTCATTCGATCACAACTATACATTTGACACTTTCTTAACGCCACCACATGTCACCTAACATATTTTATACAATTAAAACTTTTTACCGCCATAATCACTGGTACAAAACGGAGCTGTTTGGAATTGTGTTAATTCATTCATTCATACGTACATTCATTCGATCGCCCGTTAATTTTCGGTCAGCCATCCTAAGACCGGCCATTGCGAAAGCTGCTTAAGTGTTTCTTTAGATTTATAAATTTAGCAGTACAATGCTTACAACAAATCAAGTATCTCTTAACTATTAGACAAGTCCGTCCGTCCGTCCGTCTGTGGTGCTGTTTCAGCGGCCAAACCGTAAGAGATAGATAAAGAGAATATTTAAGTTATAAGTTAAGAATAGTCTGATAAGACTACAAACCGGATTTGAGTAACGTAGCACTTCCGGTTTTCGAGAAATCACGAATTTCAAACGAAACCACACAAAATCTCCGAAGTTCTCAATTAATTAAATACTGGTTCACTGGTTCACTGGTTTGCTAGTATTTGATATTAATTTATTATTAATTTGTTATACTTTAATTCCAGATACATAGTTCATTCTGGGACCGCACCTGCATTCTTGACTTGCAGCGACGACTACAGGGCTAGATTTTGGTACAGGCGAAACACGCACTAAAGAAAAATGTCAAATATAAGGCAATACCTATCGATTGGTTCAAGCCAATAAGGTTCAAGATTGCATTGTAACGTCTTTGGTAATAATTATGTAATAATGGCTTAGGATTAAGTTGTAATAAAATCTTTTAAAAACTCACTTAAGCGTTGTTTTTATTTAAACAAAGTTAATATAAAAAAAGTGTGCGTTTCGGGATGCACGATAGAAGTGATAACTTAAACTATCCGTTTTTAAGCACAAGAGATTGGTAGGTGAAAATGGGATTGGGGGGTGAAAAGGGGTAATAATTATGTAATAATGGCTTAGGTTAGGTTAGGTTTCGGGATGCACGACAGAAGTGATAACTATCCGTTTTTAAGCACAGGAGATTGGTAGGTGAAAAGGGGATTGGGAGGTGAAAAGGGGTAATAATTATGTAGTAATGGCTTAAGATTAAGTTGTATTAAAATCTTTTGTAAACTCACTTAAGCGTTTTTATTTAAACATGTTTGATATAAAAAAAGCGTGTGCGTCTCGTGACGCACGACAGAAGTGATAACTTAACTATCCGTTTTTAAGCACAGGGGATTGGTGGGTGAAAAGGGGATTGGAGGGTGATAAGGGGATTGGTGGGTGATATTAAGGGATAAGTGGGTGATAGTGGGGATTGAAGGGTGAGAGAGTGGAGTGGGTCTGGTACCTAGGCGGACTGTGTACAGACTGGTGCCGTAATGCGTTACGTAACGAAGCGGATTACCCTCCTATACGAAGTTACCATTTCAAAAACTTGCTATTTGCGAGTGAGATTTGCATAGGAAGGGTTCAGTACCATACTTCAATATTCAAAAAAAGATTGAGCAAAAGATATCATTAATATTTTGTTAAAATAGTGGCTATAAAAATTTTGGTGTCAGATGGAGCAATATGACGAATAGATAGATAGCAGACGCTTAAGAGCCCTTTCATATATTTTGCATAAAATCGTAATTTTTGAGCGCCTCGTTTACCCCCTTAGAAAAGATTTTGACTATTTCCAATAGAAGTAAATAGTAGATTTATTCTTCCTATTGTAAGTTAATGTACAATATTTGCAAATACTATTTTCTTTTTTTTGTACTGATCGTTCTACCGCAGCTAGTTTACGGAAAAAACGATAATATGCACAACTTCAAACGCCTAATTCTCTAAATAATGTTTAATAAATTAGATCAAATTAATTACTACGACATCAGAAATATGTTTTTCTTGTAACATAATGTATTAGAATTTTGATTTTCCATCTCATTAATTATCAAAAAAAACATCTAACCTCCGTGAGTTTTCCCAAAAAATAATGCAGGTTTACCTCGTATTTCGATATTGAATTAAACAGAATTACTATCAAAACTTTCATAAAACTAATCTACCATCATTGAACTACTGAAATATGTATATGCTTCTATAATTAGTTCATTAATAATCTAATATATAAAATCCTCTTGTCGCGGGGTTTGTGGTTAAACTCCTCCGAAACGGCTCGACCGATTTTCGTGAAATTTTATATGCATATTCAGTAGGTCTGAGAATCGGACAACATCTATTATTCATCCCCCTAAATGTTAAGGGTAATTCACCCCTAATTTTTTTTTTCAATTTTAGATATTTTTTTTTTATTTTTTTATGATATAAAAAAATAAAAAAAAATCATCATACAAAAATACATACATTCCTAAATTTTCAACTTTCTACCACCAACCCCTATTTTTTTTATGGCGGTACGAAATTCGCTGGGTCAGCTAGTTATGTTATAAGCTTAGCTCACAAAAGTGATCCGCATGAATTGTGGTCCACGACCCTAATCGCTTTAGTCACAACTTGACATGCCAACGACGTACATGTGAACGGTCGGTAGTGCAGTGACGCGGATCTCGCCGTCTCGTTCGCGCTGCCGTTGAAACTTAACGTGCTGTTTCGTTCGGGTCGGTAATGCAGTGACGCGGATCTCGCCGTCCCGTTCCCGCTGGCGTGGGATCAGTTTTTGTATGATGCAAGTATGAGCGTACCGTATCTACCCATTTTGTTTTAATCTAAGGTTATAAAGACTCGAAACATCACCCGTAAAATGCAATATATACTAGTACAAATCTACCTACGCGCCGATCAGTACGGCAGCGGCGCAACTTTGTAAAAGGGCTCATAATCATCTGTGGGTTTAAATAGTTCACTGACCTGACTATACAGCTCCACTGAAGATTCCCCTTTCAGTTGGTGTCCAGTTAGGTATGTATTGTGACTACTAGCAATGTAGTACTGGCTGAGTGGACCGGACATCTGCTTAGAGAGATCCTTTGATGCCTCCTCGCCTTCTGCTGATGAGGGCTTGTTGCTGGCGACACAAATAAATTCTTGAACAAAACGCTTTTTAGACAAAAAATAGGACGTTTGAATCCTCTTTTCAATAAGTTAATTTTAATAAAGTATAATTTCATTTCATTTCATAAATTCGCCTAAAAAGTATAGTAGGTACTCCTAGCACGAACCATGCATTAATAAGCATAATTTAACATAAGAAGGAGATAGAAAGCCTCTCTTGAGTTTGTTTCGGTGGTTCTTCTCAGGAAGGTCTCCCAATTTTGGAACCGGTGGTAGTTTACGGTAATTAGGGTCAAATAAATAAATTCAAAATTACAAAAAAGATTTTTAAATAAAGTAGTGCTTTTAAATAATATATTATTTTAGGAATTTGTCTTTATTAACTAAATTAAGTAATAAATTCATACATAGACAGTAAAACTTTAAAAATCGAACAATGAAATAAACGAACGCTCAATAAAAGTCTTTCGAAGGTAGCTCGACAAAATTATATAAAAAAGTGATTCTGACGAAATAAATAACGTCAACCGTCAATAAACAAATAAAGTTTCGTGCATTAACCCGTAAAAAACTAGAAATATTTATTTCGTTTATTTATTCAATGGTGTCGATTCTAGCATGATTCTCTAAACCTAAACTTAATTTTGACTGCAGTGTATCCTTGTCTTTCGCTATACAGACTGAAAAGGAGAGACTGATGTTAAATTTAGTTTTAAGTTTAGCGAATCACGCCAGAATCGACACCATTGTTGATCCTTACCTCGCTCTGTTATTTGCTCTTCTCTGTTCTGGCACAAACGCGTAGTTATCTTTGTCAGTGAGGAATCTGACGAATCCTTCGAATGAGAGGCAGTGGTCCGCTCTCAACGCAGGGTCCGGTTCGTGCCTCTAAAACAAACCAAAATAAAGTTAATCTTACATCGCCAGGATATACTGTACTTCCAGGGTCCAAAAGTAAAAACTTCACAGTTTTGTTGGTTGTAATTTCGCATTTTTGTTGTTAAAAAGGTTTCTGTTAACCACATTATTAAAAAAAATGTCACACTTATGCACTGGTAGTTTTTTGGAAAAAAATATTGAAAATTTTTACTTTTCTTATCAAGTGGTGATACTTCACACTAGGTTAGGTTAGGTTAGTGTTGTGACCATAACGCGCGAGCCGAGCGAGCAAAGCGAGCGTGCCGCGGCAGCGGCCGGCGAAGCGCCAGAAAAAAAAAACTGTTAAAAAGACCTTTTCTACAAAAAAAAACAAGTATCACCTTTTGGGCCCTGGAAGTAGAGTTTTACCCGATATGTTAAGAAAATGAAGGAAGGGGGAGAAGTTACTATTGGTTTACCCCTAGGCCCGTAAAAATCTATATTTACATCTAAGGAAGAAGGTGAAATAGAAGCATATCTGAAATATATGGAACGGCGTTTTTTTGGACTAACAACTACCGAATTGAGACGTCTAGCATATCATATCACAACGCTTGTGCTGGCGTGGACGATGAAGATTTGGAAGAAATACATATTTGCTTGTTTTGTGAGAACGAATAGCCTACCCCATCTTGCCCTATAGTATGGGGCAAGATGGTTTTTCATAATGTTCCTATTAATTATCTTCATATATATAAATCTCGTGTCACAATGTTTGTCCTCAATGGACTCCTAAACCACTGAACCGATTATAATAAAATTCGCACACCATGTGCAGTTCGATCCAACTTGAGAGATAGGATAGTTTAAATCTCAAATTATAGTCGCAATTTTAATTTATTGCAAATTATTACTTTTGGGCGGTACGAAGTTCGCCGAGTCAGCTAGTTAATTATAAAAATATGTGATACGTTGATTCTCCTGTACCAAATCATTGTTAGATTAATGACTTAACGTGCCATAAATTATTGAGAGCAATAAACATAGTGATTGTGCTGTGATTTTGTTATTTTCTTTAGCTACCCCATCATGCCCCCCCTTCCCCTAATTGTGATTGAATTTGAATTATTTTTAGAATTATGCAAAAACCTGACACTTCTATGCATAAAAATGTTCAAAGAGCATTAAAAATTCATCATCGACATTAGCTTATTAATGTCCCCACTGTTGATGGGATAGGGAGATTGGGCTATGACCCACCACGCGGGCCCAGTGCGGATTGGTGGATGCTAACCACTGCAAATGCAGCCGGGACCAACGGCCTAACGTGCCTTCCGAAGCACGGAGAAGTAAGTTTTTGGTCACCCATCCAATTACCGGCCATTGCAAAAGTTGCTTGAACTCCACGATCGCAGACCGTACGTTTTAAAACGACTTGTGTCATCGAACTTCCCAAAAACGAACATTGATAAAGAAAATTTGGCTAGAAAAAAATGCACTCGGACCAGGCAGCAGACGGGACTCGAACCCGCACCCTTCGCTATCCGGGCGACTGCATTGACCATTATGCTACCGGGGACCGTGTGGAATTTTCAAATATTTGTCTTTTTAAATGTTTTATACTTGAAAATTTAACATTGTGGGTAACCTACAATGCGAAGAGATGGCGCTGCCTTGCAGCCGAAGAAGTGTTAGAGAAAATTCGACACGGCCATCAGGGCCGCGGTAGCGTAATGGTCAGTGCATTCGCCCGGAGGTGCGGGTTCGAGTCCCGTCTGCTGGCTGGTCCGTGTGGAATCTTTTCTAGTCAAATTATAATAAGCTTTATTTAATTACTAGCGACCCGCCCTCGCTTCGCTTCGGTGTAGAGCTGAAGTGTAGACTACAGCTTTTGTTCTCAGGCTTGTATTATACACAATGACATTCATCTATGATTTTTCTTATACCTGCTTGTAAAGTATCAGCCTGATCGGTTTAAAATTGACAAAGTTTCATACAAACTTTCATTCCCTATTTTATCCCCTTGGGGGTAGAATTGATCAAAATCCTTTCTTAGCGGATTCCTACGTCATAACATCTACCTGCATGCCAAATTTCAGCCCGATTCGTCCAGTGGTTTGGGCTGTGCGTTGATAGATCACTATGTCAGTCAGTCACCTTTGAGTTTTATATATATAATATATATATATATATATAGAAGATAAATTAAAAAGGGTCTGCTCACTTGGATAATGTCTCTTAGCTGGCTTTCGGTCTTGGGTTCGTTCTGTCTGGTTTCACAGAACTTCCCAAGCGTGGGCAATGATAGCACACGCCCACTCACTTCTGGGCAGGCGCCTGTAAAGAAGGAAACCTTATTAGTAAAAATCTCTTGACGTGACAACGTCTTATAATAGTTATAGTCTTATATTGTAATTCAACAATGAGGGCTACCGTTTTCTGCCTCGCCAGATGGCGCCACTGTTGAGTGAGGTCCTAAATTGTAACTTTTAAAGTTTATTAATACGCACATGAAATCAAAGGTTACATTTAGATCGTATTTTAACACAAAAGAACCATAATAGGCCATGCCACAGTGACGCGCAGTTCCGTTTTATTCGGAAAAAATGGGAACATAATCATTTTTCTAAGCTCAAATTTTTAATAACTGACATTCATTGCCACATAACTCATATTTGCCATAATTAAGCCGAATTATAACCAATTATTCACAACATTATTTTAATTAGAAATAAACCCGCGTAGTCAACCAACAACATTTGACATTTCGGAGACCTCACGCTACACTAGCGCCTCTAGCGGCGGATTCATACGCGATAGCCCTCATTAGTTCTAGTCTGTAACTATGTATTATAGTCTTTTTTTTAAGATAACGTGCACCATATGTTCGTTTTTAAACACGTGTTTGTTGATCAGGGCCACTCTCCGTACCTATCCTCCAGGTGTAGATTGTCGTTCTGGGGCGTTTCGGTGCACTCGTGGGGTGTGAGGGGGCTATGTCGGGTTTGGCTTTTGGTGCGCCTTGGTTGCGGGTGTGGAGCGCGCCACGTGTGCGGATGGTGTAGGCTTGTTGAAAATATATCGATGTATCGATATTTTTGATTCGATATATCGATACATCGATACAAAATAACCATTATCGAAATTCGTATCAAAAACCGATATTCTTTTAATTATTAGCGGCATATCACGATCTAACTAAATTCGTATCTGGAAAAATCGTAACTGGATCTCAGATTAATGATATTCAACATATCTATGATCTGTGCTGTATATAGTATTGTCTATTATTTGTAAATCTATTTCGCTGGTGAATTGGTTGTGCTGATTTCCATTATATTCTGTGGAAGTGTTTGACTGTCTAGTTTTGTTTACGAAAGATATCACCTGAGAGGCCCTGCAATCATTTTCATCATTCGACAATAGGGTCTATTTTATGGATCTCCATTATTATTCAGCGTGTCATATTTCGTGAGATACTGTACTTTCATGTAGTGTAGCGGCAATTTGGTACTTTGATAATTCTTTCTTTAATTATAATTTGTATTTAACTAGTATTACTGTACTAGGCTGACCTAAATATATTTTTGGGAAAATTTGTAAGATATATCGATGTTTTTTTCGCGATATATCGAAGCCGATATTGATATTTTTTAAAATATCGATGTATCGATATATCGATATTTTTTTCAACTTTCGACATCCCTAGGCTAGGTTCTCGTTTATCACTGTGTTAGGACTTGAGCTCGGGGTGCGGGGTGGCACGCACGAAAAAGTGTCACGTTCCGTCTGAGCGTGAGCGTGCAAGCGAGAGCGCGGAACAAGCGATAGAGGGAACCGTTCGGTCCAAGCAGAAATTGTACACATTTATCTGTCTTCTCGCGTGACGTGCCGAGTGGTTTGTACGCCGGGTTTCATGGCGTCGCCGCCTCGAGAGGTCCCGGGTTCAAATCCCGATGGGGGCAGATGTTTGTGTGATGAACACATGCATTTGTACTCCAGTCAGGGATGTTTAATATGTATTTCTATATGAATATACTTATATATGTACTGTATATGTATTCTATCCGTTGCCCTAGCATCCTCTAGGCCATCATTCATCCTCATCACTCATCCATTAGGCCAGGCTAATTGGTGTGAGTGTTGGAAATATTTATTTATTATGCAATTTTGAAGTTATACTTCTTTAGGCGCGTTATGAAAAAATGATGAGAGTGAATTTAGTGGGTGCTAACGACTGCATTGTGAAGGCCTATCAAAAGTATTTATTAATCTGGAACAACGGAACCAAAGCGCGATTCAGGAGACTACAGCGCCATCTCTTGACCATTGGTGTAGTAGAACCAAAAACCACATCTTTATTTTTCAATGTTACTTTTATGTTATTATTGTAATAAAGTAACAGTTATAGGTATTCATATTTATAATATTTATCCACATGATTCTAGTTTGTATATTCGGAATACGTGTTTGAGTTTCATACAAGTGCAAATCACATATGTTCTAATAAATTATATTCAGTAGCGATTTTAATTGAATATTTTGATTATTTATTTATTTTTTCAAATTAAAAGTGAAGTTTATTGACTGTGTCCTTTTCCAGACTTTTTATTAATTTATTGTAATTAATTATTTGCATGCAATTAAAAACTAATTTTAAACGATGCCAAAGAAGGATAACTTCTCACGCGCCTACATAAGTACACGCACCCATTTTTTATCAATGTTTCTTCATGACGTTATGACGTAAAACAATTGAGTACTGCGTTCACAGAACACAGAAAGAGGTTAGAAGTATGATCCTATCCTATCCTATCCTAGTTTGTATGTCCTATCCTATCCTAGTGTGTATCCTATCTCACCTCCACTACACTTCCGCTTAATCGATAATAAGCGCTTATTCCACCTGAATAAATTCAGACGTCCTAGTTAGGACCCTAAAAAGAAGGCTCATTAGAAGCTTCTAATTACACTTGACTAAACTGATTCAGTCAGTTACAAGCGCGCGGCGAATTCAGTCGGACTTTTTCGTAATGACTCCAGTCCTGTCAAAGATCTTAACTTTAGGCAAATATTCTTCCGATTATCAGATCTTTATTTATGACGCACGGACAAATGCTGTCACGGAACATAGACAGGGGATAGAAGGATTTTGTGAGCGAGGCAGGCGAGCCAGAGTTATGTGTGAGCAAATGCTCATAACTTAAACTTGGTTCTGTGTCGTTCCTCTCGTATGTGAGTACTAATAGGTCCGATTGTTTAATGTCGCGTCATTTGGCTATAGCGCTTATTCCAGCTGTCTAAATTCAGACGTTCTAAATCAGTGTTTTCCAGGGTGTTGTTAATCCAGGATGTCAACTAACTCCATACCAAATTTTATTTAAATCGCTCCTGCTTTTTAGACGTGAAGTAGTAACAAACATACACTCACACACTCACACACTCACAAACTTTCCCCTTTATATTATTAGTGTACGGGACGCCGGGCTGTCGCAGTAGAGGACAGTTACCGACTCGTACTGCGGGGTGGAGGACATTACACGCAAAATTCTGTCTTCTCGTACGCCTGGCCGTTGGCTCAATAAAAATAAAATAAAGTAAAAAAAGAAAAAATATTAATATTATTTTTATTATTTTTGTTCCAAGGATACGGCATATGTTTATACAATTCGATTATGTTACTCATAACTTCTTTTTCTTTTACCGCCAACATCGCACACGCGTAATTCGTAATCGTAGACACAACACGTCCTCACGCAGTGACACCTGCGGTGCGACTGAAGCAAGCATCTAAACGCTATTACACCTTCCTAAATAGCGGTGGGCGTTTAAACGATAAGCGCTTAATTAAGCGCGCTTAAAATATTAAGCTTGTAAGCACGCTTTTAAGTATAAGCGTTATAAGCTTTTCACTTAAAAAGTGTGAGTAAGCTTTTCACTTAAAAAAGTGCAAGTAATTTTTTTACTTAACAGTGCTAATCCCGCCATCTATGTCTTTGCCAGAAAACTACATACTTCGACCCTTCTAGTCCACTACAGTATCGAAAAATGGGTACGCGGAATTCCTTGGAACTAAATATTACACAGCATCATAGCCATAGAACGCGCGACTACAGCGCCGCGTCGGCATGCCATCTTTCGTGAGCCGGTTAATACAGCATGCGAATTATTATAATTCGACGTAAAAAAAATGCACTTTTTTAAAATTTGGTCGGATAACCAACGCTTTTTTCGTTAAAAGCGTTTAATTAAACGAAGTCGAAAAGCAGTATGCTTTTCACTGTGACGGGGTAAGCGCGCGTGTTTGTTGTACGGTGTGTTTGCATGATTGCTTGTGTTAATGCGTTTCGTGTATTGATTTAATGTGCATATAAAATATTTAAGTTTGTAAACTTTTTAATAAAAATTTCATTAATATGAATTTAAAACGCAATAAAACACTTAAACACATTAAAAACGACAATAA